TACAAAAATGTTGAATATAATAATGCTTCTTTTTAAAAATTTAATAATAAAAAAATTAATGTTAATTATATTGTAAATAATTGTACTCGTGGTAAAAATCATAAAATTAACATGTTTCCAGCATATGGAAAACATTGTGGTAATTGTAGTTTGCTAAATAATTTCAAAATTATGTATAAGTTAGAGAAAAAAATATGTTAGTGATAAAAAACTAGTTAGCTGTATAGAAAATGTTGTTAGGGGAGAGTGGAGTTATATGAAAAAATGGGGCAATAAGAAATTTTTAATTTACTTAACCTACATGATATTTATTATATCTATTTTTTTTATGAAATATGTTATTGTAATTAATCATACTTATCTGTAATTAATGTTGGTAGTACAATTTTTCATTTTTTAAAAAAAAATTCTCTTATTGCCTCAAATAATTATTTTATTACACCCAGTGGGGTAATTAAAAATAAATGTTTATTTCTACTACATAAGGCCTTCAGGGGTAATAACAGAAAGCTTATATTAAGTTTAATATGTATCTATAATTTCATTTTTTATCTAATGTATTGTATTTTTAATTAAATGCTGGATTTGAAAAACAAATAGATTTATATATTTTATAAAAATACATTCCAACTATAGTTAAGTATACACATAATAAGCAACTGAAATTGTTACTTTTTATTATTAAGTATCTAACCAACAACTTTTAAATGTATGTCTAATTTTAATTCAAAATACCTCCATTATAGTAATTAAACCTAGGTATAACTATTTAAAAAATATAATTTGACTCTTTAATATCACTTTTTTTATTTCTTTAATAGGTATATAAATTGAGGAAAACATTTCTTATTTTAATAATAAAAATATTAAACAGTACAACAAAGCATTAAATATATAAATAAGAGTCAACTTTTTAGTCTTTTAGTTACCTTTTACCATTTTCAGTCTTGAAAGGAATATAAGTTATTTCAGTTGCAAATACCTTACTGGGTAGAAAACAATAAATAACTAACATAACAAACCTAGGAAGTTATCTAACTTCCTAATAATTTTAGCAAAACATAGTAATTAAGATTTAACTTAATCTTAATTTATAATATAATAAGAGTAATTTTCAGTCTTCAAATTACGTATTTAAATCTTCTTTCAGATCCTTATACTCTTTAATTATTCTTAAACAATCAGATCTTTTAGTTTGAAATGGATAGTTACCAATTAACTCAATAGGTTCATCAAAAATAAATATATTTTCAAATGTATAAATATTTTATTTCCTTTGCTATATTAAATATAATTAAATTATCAAAATCCTTTTTCATAAATTAAATTTTTGTTTTGTTTTCATCCCAAAAATCAATAACAAGTACCAAGTATCTTCATAATAAATTACATATCAACTCAGTTTAATATCAATTTTTAAATTTAGTTCATTAATAGATTCATGATCACTTTCAATTTCTAACTCGGAACCAGACGAGCTAATGTATTCTCCATTTTTAAACCTGATTATTTTAGCTGGGATATTGTCTTCATCAAAGAGTGAACTATCATTAGACTTATCGTCTATTGGTTTTACAAACTTTGATTTATTTATGTTTATTGGTATTTTTTTAACTCTGTTGTTAAACGTTTTCTTTTTATATTCAATGTTATAGTAGATACAGTCTAATATATCTAATTAAAAAGTTTCTTCTAAAATAACATAAAACTTAATATATAACAAAGATTAACAATTCAGAAACAATTTTATCTCAAAATTTAAACCACTTACAGATTTCACACTTTAAAAATTACATTCATCAAAAATGACTACATAAGAAAAAAAAGAAATGGCGTAGGTTTAATGATAAAATTAATATTTTAGTAGCACAAAATACACTCAAATTACAACTTAAAAACCAGCATTCTTTTCAATCATGAGTTACTAATTTAACTTTCATAATTTTCAATAACGCTGAAAACAATTTATTAAATAAAGGTAATAAATATTAAACTTTTAATCAATTAAAAAACAGTTAACATACAATGTGAATCTGTTATAAATTATATACAATTTCAAAATCAAACAAGATATGACAATAAACAACAAAAATAAGCGTAAAAAAAAAAATTAAAACAAAATTGTATAGTTAAACGACAAAATACAATTATTAATAACAATGAATAAATTAAAAACAATTAATTCAGAAATAGATAAATCATAAATTTAATATTTTTGTCATCATTTGTACTAATGAAATTCATAAAAAAAACTTTAAGATTTTAGAAATAATAATAATATTCAAAACTTAACATATGGCCCAACTATAATTTACATTTTACACTAAACAAATTAATAAATTGATAACAAATTTGAAAGAAATCATACCTAAAGTCTAAAAAAAAATATTCAAATCTGATTACTAAATAGAGGCTTTACACTTATATTTATTCATAAAATTACATAAACAGAATAATCCAATTCGTCAATTAATTAACTTTAAAACTGCTCCAACTTATAACCTTGCTAAACATTTATATTCTCTCATAAAAGAAAAATTAAACATGAATACTGATACTTCTATAAAAAAAAAAACACATGATTTTATTAAAAAAATTAATATTCAGCCAGGTTACAAAATTATTGACGTCAAAAATGTTTAAAAAATAAACTTGTACATAGTAATAAATTCAATAAAAACTTAGCATAAGAAATTATTCAATCAATAAATGTAAATTATAAATCAAAACTATTTCCAATATAATAATAAATTACATGTTTAGTTACTAGTCATTTAACTGCACTTGTACCTGAAATTTACATGCAAAATTATGAAAACAATAATATTATTAACAACAAAATATGTAGTCCATATATAAAAGCATATTATAGATATGTTGATAAAACTTTCATTTAATTCAAAGGTTCAATTAGACAAGCAGAAAATTTAGTCAACTACTTACACAAAATAAATAAAACATTCAATTTACACTTGAAATACAAATGAATAATAAATTAAATTTCTTACATCTTACAGTTTCCATAATAAATAATACATTTTATTTTAGTTTTGACAGGAAACCTACATAAACTAATATTATAATACCGCATGATTCTAATCATCTTACGACAAGTAGAGGTACCGTAAGAATATTTTGATCCTCTTCCACAGGGTGAACGACAATTGTAAATCGGAGTAAAATTCTTGGTAGAAAAGTTGGTAACAGGCAAAAAAAGCCGCAATATGTTTTTACTAATAACTACATTTCGTACATTTTATTGTTTTAACCAATATAATGACAAAATAAAAAAAATGACCTTAATGTACCACCACATTCAGATTCGCTTTCAGAAAAAGTGCTACATTTGTAAATCGGATCAATATTTCTTGTAGAAAAGTTGTTCACAGAATAAAAAAAAAAAAACACCATTGTAATACTATAAGCTTCTTCCCTCCACTCAAAATCTGAAATATTTCAAATAAAGTACTATCAAGCGGAAATATACATTTATTTATAGGTATTGTATGTCAAAAATCAAACTATGTTTTATAACAACAAATCTCTGTATAAAGTATAACTAACAGTATTTTTAACCAAAAAGCTAGATTCCGAGTAGGTATATTGTTATACTCAGAATCTAAGTTAAATAATTCTTATTGTTTAATAGACTCCGCCGTATATTATCCAATAATTAATGTTAACTATCATCATATTTTAGATACCTAGGTACCTAACTTCATAAATTCGTCAATAGCAATTCCAATTTGTATATTTTCTTATCTAATGAAAATTTAATTTTCAAACCCGAAATAATAAACAGTACCTATCTGTAAAGAATAATTTGCACTGAATTGCACCACTTAGAAGATGCGCATCGACAACCGCCTTACCATTTTGTTTTATTTTTATTATTTTAGTGCGACACTGCCAAAACGCAAGTCCTCACTTGGTTGCTCAGGTATAACTGAATCTTCCTTTTATTTTGATGAAACATGTTAATTATTTTTAGATTCCGAGCGTAACCAGGGAACTATTGGTTTTACTTAGATATTTATTATTTTATTTTTTTGTTCTAGTCTGAGGACACGTTTTTCATAGTAAACTTGCTCCGATTTTTACGTGTAGCACCTTTTCTGAAAGCTTAAATTGTCTATATTGTACTTTAAACAGGTCATTTTTTGAATAAAAGCACTTATGTATGAAAAACAATTTCACAATTTCAATATTTTATAAAAACACAGACGTCGTTTTCTACCAAAATAAGTGATTTAATCGAAAAATCACAAGATACCTTTTTCGTCGCCTTTTTGATTTACTTTCTTACGATTTCATCGCTAAAACTTTTAAGCCACTTTTGAACTTTTAAGGAATTTAAATTTTTGAGAGTTTTTTTGCTGTAATTCGGTTATAAATATACGTAGAGACTTGGAACTTGGTAATAGTACTTATATGGGACTTACCTAGACGTAGTAAAATTTTCAAAATCATTGGACGATTTTTTTTTTTTTTTTTTTAATAAGCGTTTTGAAATCAAATTTAAACGAAAATTGCAAAAAAAAATTACGGCAATTAAAATTATGTATTACCGAAATGCGCTCGGAATCGTCTTTCGTCAAGCAATGGTTTATCGTCGCTTACAGATATAAATGAAATAACCTTATACATTCTACCTTCTCAACTTTTCACCTACAACAGTGGCCGCTCTCATCCCCCAGTATCAGTTCTTTTTATTTTTATAATTATTGTAAATTGTACACTAAATTATAAGGCGACCGCCGCTCTAAAACTACAAACAGTATAAACCGTTGACAAAGTTTATTTAGTAAACAGTTATCCTTGGAAATACCAAGTTGGATTAACACCTTAGATCATATACGATACATAGTATATTATCTAAATTCTAAGATCAACATCAAGGTGGAGATAATAAAAGGATCCGAAAATTTTATCTCCAAAATACGATACCACATCTTGACAGCTGCCAAATTCATATCAGATGCAATATGGCTGACATTGGCGTAAAATGCGTAGTGAATAGTGATAATATAATCTGGTTATCTTTTTTTTAAAAAGGTATTAAATAGTGAATTTAATATTTATCATTAATAATGTTATCCGTGCAAATTGTTTATTTCTTGTTTTTCAAATTCACATCAACCACTACATTTTATCTAATATAAATGTTAAATACTATTGCAAATTCAAATTTAAACGTGTTTTAATCACAATTTTTCTTCAATATGTCGGGAGTACAGAAAGATATTGATTCCAGCTCCAATATTTGTGTTCTGGTATCAGAAAGTAATCCAGAATTGAAGTTTTTCCTCTTAGATAAGGAACCATTTTTGTTGGGCAGAACACTGCAAACTGGAATTGTAGATCAAAGATTGTCTAAAACTCAAAGTACATAAAAAATTCAGATAATATATTATATTGATAAATTGTTTGTAATATCTGTAAAAACTAAGGGATGTTATTAGTAGAAGTCCCTTTATGTGTTTTTGTCCTAACGTTATAGGTAGTAGATATAATAATGATACTATAATGATATATGTATCAAAATAAGTTCTATAGTATACAAATTTGTTTAATGAATATGTTTAATCAATTAAATTATAAAGTATTATGTTAAACTTTGAGTGAAGCGTTTGTAATTTTTGGTTTATAAATATATTTTATTTTTTGTTTATTACACAAAAAAAATATTATTTGATCATTTTGACCAGTTAAATGAGCTCCACTCAAAATTGTTTTTAGTCATATTTAATATGTTTAAAATCACTAATTTTATTTTATTTATTTCTATAGTGAAATTTGAAGCAGATTATTCTGTAGGTCATGTATTAGTTGAGCAACTGGGTAATAATAAGTCAGCTATTAATAATCAGTCTATGATAAAAGGAGAAAAGCGAATTTTATACCATGGAGACAAAGTATCATTGCTATTCAACAGTAATTACACATATATTTTGAATTTCATAACCACTCCTAGTTATGGTGTATCACCTAATAAAAGACCAACAGAGAATTTGAATCAAAAAATTGCATGCAAAAAAATCCGCCCTTGTGAAAATAAATGGGAAAAATGGAATTCATTGATGGTATATAATAGTCAAGACCTTGTTCATAAAGAAAAGGTGAATGCTATTAAATATATTAAAATTTCAAGTTTTTATTATAAATTGTTAATAAGTGTATTTATATTTTTAAGATAGCAGCTTTTGATTTGGATGGGACATTAATTGTTACCAAATCCGGTAAAACATTTCCCTGTGATAATGACGACTGGAAAATAAATTTTAAGGAAGTCATTTCAACTGTTATAAAATTATCACTTGAAGGTTATAAAATTGTGATATTCACAAATCAAAAAGCTATCGGATGTAATTCGTCTAATGCAATGCCATTTCGTAAAAAAGTTGAAAATATTATTGGAATGTTCAATACACCTATACAAGTATTTGTGTCTATTCATGATGATATATACAGAAAACCTGCACCAGGAATGTGGAATGCTTTGGCCTCTGAGGTAATGTATTTTATTGTATACAAATAGATTTATCATATAACTATAAAAAAAAAATAGTAATAATATACTTACTTAAATTTTAGTTTAATGGAGACAAACTAATTAATTTGAATGAAAGTTTTTACTGTGGGGATGGTGCAGGGCGACCTGCTCGTGTCAGTAATAGTGGTAAACAAATTAAAAAAGATCATTCAATTTGTGACCGTTTATTTGCCATGAATGTGGGTATTAATTTTTTTACTCCTGAAGAATTTTTTTTGAAAGCCCCTACAGAAGAATTTAAACTACCTGTGTTTAATCCAAAGAACGTTATGAGTAATATCAAAGATATAGATTCCAAATCAAAATTGTTTAAAGCTTTTAAAGAAGTAATTTTTAAAGCTCTTTATTTCTTAGTGGAACACTTAGTTTAACACTTAATTCATTATTTAATAGATGATTATTATGGTTGGTTGTCCTGGATCAGGGAAAAGTCATTTTGTATCCAATAAACTAGCATGTCATGGAAGTATAAAAATAATTAGTAGAGACGTATTGGGCTCAGCGCAAAAGTGTATAAATGAAGCAAAAAAATACTTAGAAACTTCTACTTCATTGAGTGTAGTAATTGACAATACAAATCCAGATAAACTATCAAGAAAACGTTTTATAGATATTGCTAAAAGTTTGAAAATCCCGTGTCGAATATTTATAATGAATGTCAAAAAAGAACATGCAATGCATAACAATAGGGTAAGTGAATAACTTTTTGTTTTGCAATTTACATTACTTTAGTACAATTATTTAAATTAACAGAGCAAGTGCAGTTTACAAGTATGTTCATTTTTTAAGGGGGTCTTTTAGACCCCCTTAAAATAAAAAAATAAAAGACTCATCACTGTTGGTGAGAAGTTGGGATTGTAGGAATAGAGGGGAATTTATTTATATATGTAAGCAACGATAAACTATTGCTACAAAGAACTATTTGGGACAAAGATTGGTATGCATGTTTTGATATTTATGATTTTAATATCAAATAAAAATTTGATGTTAAAACTTATAGAACAAAAAAATGCTACATTAACTCAATTTTTTTTTTTATCACAAAGTACAACTTGTAATGAACCTCCTATTAAATATTCAAGCATTTCTGTTTAATCTTACAATTATTTTGTAAAATAAAAATTTCTATAAACAACTGAAAAATTACTCAAATGTTTTTACAATTTTAGCAAATCTAGAAAAGACAAGCATACGTTTTTTGTCAAAATTGGAAATGATAAATTTCATACATTTTCTAATTATTAAAAAAACTACAGTGAAATCAACGACTTTCTTACTCACCAACTAAATTAAAAATGCAAAAGTTGAACCTACCCCCTTCTAAAGCTTAACTCATTGAAATTGGTGGTTTAGCAATCAGTGAGTTAATTTCGGTTTAAACCATGGATAGTCAATTATAATACCGTCTTTTACATTTAACCTAGGTTTAAACTCATAATCAAGTTTAAATCACTATTGTATTACGGGCCCTTAAACTATAAAAAAAAATGTGCAAATTATTTTTGATGATAAATCAAAAAACTTTTGTGTAAACCATTTTCCACTATCTATTTTAAATATTTATATGGTAAATGGCTGTAATCCAAATTTTGAACTACATTGTGTACTATTAATTCTTTATCCAATGGAATGAAATTTTTGCATTCACATTCTAAGATATATTAAATACACACATCATACTTTCAAAATTAAATGTATTTATTTACAAACACTGGCACCCTACCTATAGAAAGATGGTCCTTATTTTTTAACTTAAATAAATTTGTGTCGCCGACTCAGAATTTTGTTAGGTACATTGTAAAAATAATTTTTGTCAATTCAAGGTATGATAAGTCAACCCCTTAACGTGCCTCAAAGATGTTTAAAATTTCTAAAAAGCGGTTTTTGTTTTTATTTTTTTTAAATTTTTAACATCCTTTTGTAGAACTTACCTCTTGAACATTACTATTGAATTTTAATTGATTTACATTAATTTTACAGTTTCGAGAATTAACTGAGAAAAAACGTCTGGCTGAAATCATAATACATACATATTTGTGAGTATTGAACATAGATAAAATATTTCATACATATACATATTTATAAAAATATATAGATATAATTTAAGTACTATTTTAAAGTAATTTGGTTTTCAATTTGTTTTATATAACATGCATGGATTTGTATATTTAGGAGAAAATCTGTATTAAATTAATAATTGAGAAATGGTAAGTAGTACTGAAAAGATAAGGACTTAGGATAAGTCAAAGTAAAACACAGTGTATAGAGTATAAGTTTGGAGGAACAGGATTAGGTAGCTAATAACCATTAGTGGTGCCATATAGGTTATATATAACCTCTGATAAGTATGTGAAACATAGGTTTAAGTGTTAGATAAATTGGAGAGAAGTGTTAGGTATTTTATGTGATAAGAGGATTCTAATGAAACTTAAAAACAAATTTTACGAAAGTGTGGTTAGACCAACTATGTTTTATGGTTTGAAGTGTTGAGTATTAAACTGAAAAATATAATTAAGAATGAGTGTAGCAGAGATGAGAATATTTAGGGTTTAGGTGGATGAGTAGAGTGATGAGTGAAGTATAGGATAAGGAATAAGTACATTAGAAGTAGTTTTAGTGTGGCTTCAATAATGAACAAAATATGTGAAAATGGAATGAGATAATTTGACATGTCATGCGGAGGGGAATCAGAAGCAATACAAATTGTAATAAAAAAGGATATTGGAGAAAAGAGGGGGAAGGAAGACTGAAAAAAGGAGATTGGGTGTAATTGAGAATAATATGAGAATGATGGGTGTACGGCAATGTGAAGAGGCGTTCTGGGAGATCAGATCAAGTAGATTTTTAGGATGAGGGTGGCTGATTCCAAATAGTTGGGATGAAAACACTAAGGAGATATATTTGTAGATTTAGTTTTGTAGCTCGCCAGTTATGCTCCTATTAATATTGTATTTTTCGTTAGTAATGAAAATTATCTGTCTTAAATTTTAAATTAATGTGTACGGTTTTTGTTTTAGTACAAAATTTGAAGAACCATCGTTAAGTGAAGGTGTTGATGAAATAGTTCGAATCAATTTTGTTCCTCACTTTAAGAATTCTAAAACAGAAGCGCTTTATAAAATGTACTTGATTTAAATTATTTTAAAATGGAAAAATGTATGGGTAATAAAATGTCTCAAACAATTTTACTTAATACATATTCATAAATAATTCCTATTAATTAATTCAAAGTCTTATCACAATGTTATAATTATTTATTTTATAAACAAATACTGAAAGTTTTTTCATACCTAATTATATAAAATTACTTTTTCAAATTGAACAATTTTAAGTAAAAATTATATTTAAATTGATATTAATTTATAATTAGACTATAATTCTAAAAAAGAAAAAATTGTAGACTTCACATGAAAACTGTAACATTTTATTTTGTTTAAGATTGTAAAATATATCAAATTCATTACTTTTTTTTTTTTTAATCATTGATACTTTCAAACTTGTACTATTATTATGTTAAAATGTACAGGGAGGCAGAACAAAAATTATCATATTTGAGATAAGTGTATCTTAGGGAGGGCGTGTAGCACAATATTGCTGAATGTCCTATTGTGTATTATGTGACAGAAAGTTTATTCGCGATGGCACATAAGTGTATCCAACATGATCACTATAAAAATGTTTTTCCATAATAATGGGTCAATCATGAATATTTAGAATTTCGCATTGGAGTCTTATTGGGGTCACATAACCAATTGATCGATAGTTGGGAACAATTGAACGTAGAGAGACCGAATCACGAGCTACAATTGACTCATTGTTAAGGAAAAATGTTTCTTATGGTGGTTTTTTTTTGCTTCGTCATCATATATATGAAAATATTTAAGTTTGAAACAAACCTATAACATATAACATTTTAAACTATTACTTCTAACTATAAATAAGTGTTAGCAAGTGTCTACTAAAACATAATTTATAAATATTATTGTATGTAATACAATTTTGTTGCTTCACTTTGACTTGTTAGAATGTAAATTTAAATCATGAATTTCCTTTGGAGTTGACTGAAGTTAATGGACATTTATTCGGGTTAAATTAATGTGAAATCAATATTGACCTAATGACTTAACAAACGTAATGAGGTGAATGATGAATGAATAATAATGAATTATATTATTCATTAATCAACATCCAAAAAAGTATATATTACTATGGTTTATGGCTTTTCAGTAAATAATTGAATATATTGTGATTTAAAAAATATGTTTTACAATGAAACTTAACAATATGTGAAATAATAAATATGGTAACAAATTTAATAACATTTGTAATCTTCAGTAAAGTCGATTCCGTAGACATGGGTGTATTTTCATATTTTTAAAAAAAAAAAATTATATAACTATGTGGATAATTAAGTTTTATAATAATCAGAAAAAAGTATACAATTTGCAATATTTAGGTGAGAGGATATAATTCAATTTGATAAGAAGGGCATTGTTCACTCAATAAAAATAATCGTTTACATGACTAAATTATTAAATATCCTTTTATTTTCAACTTCTTTATTAATAATATTGTATTCACTATAAATTATTCTAACATTTTGTTTTTTGCTGATGATGCAAACATTTTCAAATAAATGAATAGCCTGGAAAATGCAGAACTATTACAAATCAATTCAAATAATATTTGTGATTGGTGCAATTCTAACAGAATGACCCTTAACATTAATAAATGTAACATTATTTCTTTCTCCAAAACACATCACCAAATAACATTTAACTATAATTTAACTGTTTGTAATTTATGGAGCTTCTCAGATATAAGACCTTGGTGTTATTTTTGATTCTAAACTTTTATTTATCTTGCATTCAATAGAAATTACTAAAAAGCTCTCCGTTTTTGGTACAATTAAGCAGAACTATTTTAAGTTTTATGATCCTCTCTAATTAGACCACTTCTGGAGTACGCTAGTCTTATTTGGGAAATCAGTACTTTAAGCCATAGCAATCAAATTGAATTTATTCAAACCAAAGTTCTATGTTATATATCTCATAAATGCAACATTACCAGACAACCTCATTCTTGTTATGAGAGTATCCAATAATTATTAAATTTAAAAACTGAAAAATAAAAGAATTAATTCTTAAGCAATGTTTCTGAAAAAACGAGATTGATAATTCCTTACTTTTATGTCTAATAAACTTTAAAATATAATTATTATATACTTGACAAAAACTTATATATCCCTCAATTTTTTTAAAAATATTTAGCATGTTCTTAATATAATACAATCTGCTGGTAATACATAATGATAATTTATTTACATGATTAGTTAATATTTTATTTTGTTTTTTTTTTATTTCTGATACTTACTTTGACTTAATTTATATATAAAACCAAATTAATAATGTTAATTTTAAATGTATAGTTTAAGAACTTTTATGTTCTTTGTTTATACCTATTCCTTTTAGTTATTAATTTTAAGGTACTACCATTGTTATCATTCATTAATTTGTAAATGAATTTGTACTTTATGTCCATTAATAAATATAAAACAATTTTTTTTAAATTGCTTGTACGGCTAGTATATAATTTCTCAGTAAATTCAAACTGCCCAGATCTTCATGAAAATACTATGAATTATTGTGTTAAATATATAAATACTTCCGACAAGTAGGTTCATATGCGTTCAAAAATAGAAAATTTAAAAAAGGATTAAGATGGAGCCTATACTGGTGATCAATCTTCAGTAAGACATTCATTAACTAGGAAAGTTTTAATTTTTTCAAAACAAACTTTTAGATTAAGAAACAAGCATTTCTAAAATGGTTACGCTGCTGTTATTTTTATTATTATTTTTGGTAGTAAAATCATTACACACTTTTGATTTTTAAATAGAAACCTATTTTACAAATTTAAACAGCAAAATGTATTTAATGTAAAACACCGCATATTTTTGTATCTTTTAATATAGGTTGATACTCAAAAATCAAAAGTGTATAGTTTTAACTTTCACACTTAAAAATAAAGGTGATAAAAATAACACAAATGTAACATTTTAGAGCTGTTTTTTTCATTAACTTTCTATTTAAAAATTATGAAAAAAAGTTAATACTTTCATTCTTACAATTCTAAAATTGCCAGTTATCGTAGGTGCTTAGGTGTTGACGTGTTTGTAGTTATAACACGGTTTTATAGGTAGGTAATTGACTATAAGGGTCTTAGCAGCCAATTTAGGTCGACAAACATAATATTATTTAAAACAATACAAATTGAATTAATACATATTTAAGTTGTTACTCTCCATAAACTTGTACTTGATGATTTTTCGATATCTACGAATGAACTTAAAGAGTGAATTAAATATTTGTATAAATACTTTCAGACCAATGTGCCACACTGATGTAGTTACCGAAAATCCAATTGATATTTATAGGCACCAATCGGTTTGTTTTGCTAAAAAAATAAATTCGATATCATCACATTTAATAAGATCGTACCTATACTTACTAATGTTTTTGATTTTTTTGTATGAACTATATTTTGTTTATTACAAAAGTACGTAATTTCAAAATCCATTTTTTTGTACCTATCGAAAACCTGTTTGAGGTTTGACAAATGATAACATGTATAAATATAGGTACCGGCACCTAATGTTGAAAAGCTACTATTTTGATATAGGTATTGAATATACCAAATTAACCACTGGCATTTAAAATACCTACGTTTATAAAGCTATAAAGCTGATGAAACTAGAGGATCGTGACAAAACCGTTGTTTGTTGTGAATATTTTTCTAAATTTCAAGTGCACCTACTTGTATTATAGCGATGCTTATTGTATTCAAGGCCGGTTTGAAGGCAGTCCAAGCTGTGTACTCGTACAGAGCACCGTGTCTTGTTACAATCGTAGATAGATATGTAGATAATAATTTCATATGAATATTTAAAAAAATATAAATTTAAATTAATAAAAACTAAGTAGATTTGTATTGTAGATTTACGGTATATAATTTACCTACACTTAGTAATAGAAGGTGAAAAGTCAAAAAGTCAATGTTGAGAATATTCCTGGGAAAATCGAAAAATGACCTCTTTAAAGTAGGTACCTACCTCCCCAGTCAGATTTCCTTTTAGAAAAACTGCTACGATTGTAAATCGGAGAAAAATTGCTGTTAAAAAAATTGTCCACAAAAAACAAATAGAAAAATAAACATCTATGTTAAACCAATGTACATTGTTTTTTTTTTTAAATTTTTGATGGTGGTTCTCAACATTTTTGACACTACAGACCATTTAAGGAACTTTCGATAGGTGTCTATTTTTTTTTACTTATAAAGTTATAAAACAAATTTTGGTTTTGTAACTCAATGAAATCTACACGGATATCATCAGGTACCTAACTTATTGATTTAAACAATAAAACAATTTCAAATTATTCTTCGGATACCTACCTATCGTTTCTATATCATCATATTCTGGGAAATTAATTAAATTTGTCTTTAAGTTTATGTAGATGGTGTTAAACGTTGTACTGGACTTCAATTATTGTGAGGTCAGACTGTTCGGACAATCATCTATCGGCTTACGTAAATTATTTTTTCAATTTTGTAAGTATATGGCTCATGGACGATAGGTTAAGAACCTATGATCTAGATTAAAATTTGAATAATTACTTACCTAGTTAATGAGTTAGGTAGATATTTGAATGTATACCTATCCTAAAGATAATAACCCTGAAAAATGGTTAGGTTTTCATTTGACAAACAAAAATATGTTTGATTGTCACCAGTCTTATTAATACGAAACATGTGAAGTACCCAGGTATTTGAAATGGAATTTCCGTGGTGCGAAAATCATACCTAATCTAGGTTCGTGGTTTTGTTGTTACAGAGTCGAGTTGCATGTGCAGTTTTTTTTGTGACAAAGCTAATTTTAAATTTATGGTATTGCAAAAAATTGTAGTTTTGACTTTGTCAAAATTAAAAATTTCTGATAAAGATAAATACAACTGTCAAGTAAGTAAACAAATAATTGTGTTATAAAAATGTATAGGTATCTACAAATAATATATGTATATTATATATAATAATAATATAGGTACATTACAAATAATTAAGTACCTAGTAAACATTATCAAAATGCTACCTATAATATATTTTTCTGAATTATTTTAATTTTACATAAACTGAGAAAATCCATGTTATAGTACCTATATCAAATTTAATTGCTATGTTTAATAGGTTGGCGAAACAAATCATTCATTCAAACACTTTAGTATAGATTGACAATTACCCTTCCCTACTACAACGGTTTAAACATTAAATTGGTATAACCCATAAATGGTAAATATGATATTAGTGTTAGGCATATCAAAATGATTAGCAAAATATTTTAGATTAAAATCTGTGTTCACAAGGAGGAGGGGGGTATTACTATTTGAAAATCAAAAGTATGTACTTATTTAAGGTATATGGAGTAGAGGTTAAAAATTAAAAATGGGCTTATTAAAATAAGGCTTAAACGATTCCATACTGATTAGAAAAAATAGAAATCAAATTCACTTAAAATTCTAAGTTATATAATAGTATTACACATCATAAAATTGTATATTATAATTATTTTATTTATGTTCTTCAAGTATTTTTTCCAGACAATAGGACTGAACAGTATTGAAATAAAATATTGTGCAAGTATAATATTGTGTTTTATTCTTAACTACTATAATAATTATATTTTGAATAGGTAGTTCTATGATTACTTTAATATATAAAATGTTATTTTCATTATTATGATAAATTCTAATTTCTAATGTAATTTTTTGATTTAGATAGAAATCTAAGTTTATATAAAAATATGAACATAATTTCACACAGGAAAACTAAATAAAATAATTGTTTCGTTTATAAACCGCTAGAAAATGTATTATACGAACAATATTTAGCAATAAAATAAATATAATATTTATAACACTGAAAGAAAACTACCAAAAGTTAAAATACGTATATTTAATTTAATTATAATAGTTTTAAGCGTAATAGTTCAAATTAGATTTCTTTTTAGCTTGCACTTCCATGATAGCGTCCATAAAATCTTCATGAGTAACAGTTGATGCACCTCGCCTCAGTGCAATCATTCCCTGAAAAGATAAATTAAAAATTTTTTAATTTTCGAAGTAAAATTTATTTATATTTAGTTAGTATTTCATTTTTAGTATACATAATAGGGTAGACCTGGGTTTTTCTTTTTATTGTTCTTCTGGTAATATTAATTTCAGCTAAGTAAAAAAGATTTATATTTTTATATCAATATTTTTTATTCTAAGAAAAAAGTGTGTAAAAAAAAGAAATCATACAATTAAAAACGACAATGTAAATGTTTAAGTGTCTCAATCTAAAATGAAAAATGAAATAAAAAGTAGAAAAAAATATGTGATGATACTATCTCTGACCCTAAGAAATAAAAATGTGGTTGAAGTGATTATTCATCATATTAACTACCAAAGAAATAAATAAAAAAAATTGAACGAAAATGGAATCTAATTACTGGTATTTGTTTGGCTTTGGATCGTAAAAAGATAATTTAAAAAAATGCATGTAGAACACTGAATTCTGATGACAAATAAAAAGATATTACTTGGTCTGCTTCATCTAGATGGAGAATCCTCGGTTGGATGAGCGATATATCACAATATAATATTAATGTTCAGCAAGATAAAATTACACGCATAAGATAAATATTAATAACACAATATAGCAACTTGTAGTAACATTGCAATAGCAATTAAAAACATATTTATAATATGTAGTATACATTATTGTAATAATATAATATTACAAAATCATTAATTCAATTTGTTAATGTAGCAAGGACTTAGTGGACCTGGTTAACTGCTAAGGGGGTCACTGCAAAATTGTATTAATAATTATTAACGGGCGAGCAAAATAGTTATAAGATATACCTATTAGTTAAAATAAAATTCAAATTCAAGTAGAAAATTCAAGATAATGCTGGTAAGGGGCTTCTACAGATAATTTGTTTTTTCCGACTGTCTAGAAACAAAGATATTTAGTATTTCAAAGATCGTGCCTATCTTGTTGAATTTGGAACAAATAAATTAACATACCTATTACACATTTTATATAAAACACGTTTTTCTTTAGTTGTTGAAGTTAGATAATTTTATTAGTAAAAAAAAAGTAAGTTTTTGGTTATCTTGTATAATCTGGACTTTCATTAATTTGGATAACCTAGAGTTCCAATTAGTCCAGATTAATGAGGTTCTATTGTATAGTGCTTTTAATTTTAATATCAGAGTGAATTGAACAAGGGAGTTTAATATTAACATACTGAAAGATAAAAAAATTAACTGTGCGATGTCAGTGCTAATTTTTTCTTTAACAATCAAGAGTAAATCACCTAAAACTTGCATATATCAAGAAAAAAGACAACACTGTACAGACAATTTTCTTATCTTAAGTTTGATAATGGGTTAATTCACTATAATATTAAAACTAACAACACAATATGATGCAAAGTTGTATTTTTTGAATTCAAATATGCTGTCATATATTTGAAAGACTAATGATTAAACTTAAGAGAAATCAGGACATGTAATTTGTCATGATAAAAATAAAAATATTAAACAAACAAATCATTAAAACTGGTATCAGTTAAGGACAAAGCATAGATTGAAACTTGTTGAAAATGATTTAAAAGAAAATTTGTACACATTTCAATTATAGAATTTGTAACGTCAACTGTAGACCAATTTGGCATTTGTTTTAATATTCAATAAATTTCTAATTTGTAATTTTACATTTCATAACAGAAATCAACTTACAGCTTCAACACAAACGGCCTTGCACTGAGCTCCATTAAAATCATCAGTAGATCTTGAAAGTTCTTCAAAGTTTACATCAACTTTGTTCATTTTTCTTGAATGAATCTGCATAATACGAGCACGAGCTTCTTGGTTGGGATGTGGAAATTCAATTTTTCGATCTAATCTACCAGATCTCAACAATGCCGGATCTAATATGTCCACTCTGTTTGTAGCAGCGATTACTTTAATGTCTGCTGTTGAACTAAAACCATCCAACTGGTTAAGAAGTTCTAACATTGTTCTCTGCACTTCTCGATCGCCAGCTTTCTCGGAATCAAAACGTTTGGTACCAATAGCATCAAGTTCATCAATAAATATAACGGCAGGTGCTTTTTCTTTGGCAAGAGCAAAAGCATCGCGTACTAATTTAGCTCCATCACCAATAAACATTTGTACCAATTGTGGACCAGCGAGTTTTAAAAACGTTGATTTTGTTTGAGCAGCACATGCTCGTGCTAAAAGTGTTTTTCCAGTACCAGGTGGACCGTACAAAAGAACTCCTTTTGGCGGTTGTATACCAAGATTAAGGAATTTTTCTTTGTGAGTCATGGGAAGCACCACAGCTTCAATTAGCTAGAATACAATTGTTGGATTATATGTTAAGTGTTAGTTATAACTTAATGGAACATAAATATAATAAATAATTTACCTCCTGAATTTGCTTGTCCAAGCCACCAATATCTACATATTGCTCAGTAGGTCTTTCATCGACTTCCATAGCTTTAACACGAGCATCATATTCAGCTGGTAATGTTTCTAATACTAGATAAGAATCTTTGTTAACACCAACCAAATCACCTGGCTTCAATTGTTCTGGATCCACAAGACCAATAACAGGTAAGAAATAAGTCTGAAATTAATATAAGAATAGGATAAATAAAAAAAGAAACATTAGCACAATAATATGTTTAATCATTTTCTAACTTGTCTCGTAGATGTTTTGATGACTGCACATTTTCCTTTTCTTTGACTATCCAAATCAACTACAGCACCATCTTCTTCAGTGTCTTGGGGGTCAACATCCAATAACTCAATAACATTAGACACCAAATAAGGTAGTGTCTTGTTGACTTTGATTTTTTCAGTGTTTTCTTTTATTTTATCAGCTTGTGACTGTAATTCGTGCGATATACGCATTACATCACTTTTCATAACTTTGATATCATTGTCTAGTAAACGAGTACGCGATGTTATTTCTTCATTAGACATGAGTAAAATCTCATCCTCAACCCGATCCTATTGACAGATGCATAAACAATAATTGTTATTGTTTATATATATAAAAAAAAAAAAACAAAAGTTTATTTTATACTTAACTACATTAATAAAATTAAAACAAATAAAATACTTACACTGTCCTCCCAAACTGAAGGATCTTCCAACGTCTTGCTGGTTCCTTCGTCGGTCATTTTTGTGAACAATGTCAAAAATTTAGAATAATGGAACACCAAATATGAATAAGGTATCTGTGTGTATGTAAAATGTACTATACCACAGAATGACTATACTAGAATGATTGTTGATTTCTTCTAATATCACTCTAACAATCGTCTTAACCTCAAAATTGTATAATCAACAAATCAAAGTTGCAGTTTGTTTCATCATGGTTATAACCAGATGGGTATGTTATAACCTTGTGTAATAAAAAAGTAAAAATCATTGTTATCATCATATTTTAATTTAAAGTTCTTATCTTAAACCATGGTTTTTATCAATATATTATTATTGTTAAATACTTCAGTCTTAAATCCAAAATACAGATAATCTAAACTTAATGTTATAAAGTTTAGATCGAATTCTATTTATATAGTTAAATTACAACTTGCGAGTATTAAATGAAAAGTACATGACTATCGCCTGTTACATTTTTATAATTCGTACCATTTATAAAAGTTAAGAAACTAATTTTTTTTTTAAATTATCCTTTTACTTAGTAGTTAAGTATTTGAGATAAACGTTTTGAATAATGCTTCCTGGACGTGGAGTAGGTTGTTTGCCGGGTAAGTGTATGGTGAAACATATTATTATTTAATGTTTATCATTTTTCCATTCTCCCATATTATTTATTATTTTTTTCATGTGATTTATATTTTCAGATAATCCTTTGGGTTTATCATGGCACGACAGTAATTGGATTCCTATGCTCAACTCTAATAACGTTCTCGACTATTTCTCAGAACGTAGTAATCCATTCTATGACAGAAGTTGTAACAATGAAGCTATTAAAATGCAACGGCTTAGCATGGACCAATTGAGGTGAATAACTAAAATTTAAATTTTTCAATATCTGCATTGTTTGTAGTATTTTGTATTTATCATACATCTAGAAAATAGGTAATTAATAACTATTATTAGTAGTGTTTGTTTAAAAGAAAAAAATATTCTGGTATTGAATCCTTTGGTTAGTATTCATTAATTAAATTGTTAATAACATATACCATTGTTTATAATTTGATTATAGTAATATGATTGGATTGGAATATTGTCTTCTTCATGTACAAGAACCTATTTTGTATGTGGTACGTAAACAACATAGACATTCTCCTACTCATTCTACACCAATTGCTGATTTTTACATTGTTGCTGGAATAGTATATCAAGCACCAGACCTTCTATCAATTATCAACTCCCATATGGTAAATGAAATGCATTTACAGTTATATTACTCCCATTGAACCTACTAATAGATACATCGGTAAAAGTGTTGTTTGTTACTTTAAAAGTAATATATTTGAAACAAAATTTCAATGCAAATGATGCCTAACATATTTATGTTGTGTTGTATCATAGTTATTTATAACTCAATTATGTTAATTGTTATTGCGACTATATATTATATTATAATTAACAAATTTTTAAAATAATATATTTAAGCCTTGGTTTCCTACAATCACCCATCTGTGATTGCGTGGTGCCTGGTGTATGTTAGTTCAATCACGCCTGTGTGATTATGACTGTGGTTTGCAATTAAACAAATTTCCATTAGTTGGTGTTAATTCATCAAATTGGACATACTTACGTTTTATAATATTTTAGAGGATGCAGCAGATGAAGTATTATTAATGTAAATCACTTCGAGAATGAGATGACAAAATGTTTAGTGAACGTAGCAGAGGGGGCTTTTATAATTTAATATAAAATTACTAATTGACAGCAAAACTAGATTTAAAGCATATTTTAGAATATCATTTAAATTATTTAACTTTACAGGTTGATTCAAAAGTTATGTTACAGTCATTTTATCATGTAAATATCCATAATAGAGGAAAATATTTGGAAGTACAAAAGTTTTTAGATTTATAAACATCTAAAATAATATTTTAATAATTATGTACTGCGCATCATACCTTCTGTGGCGACTGTTTTGCGGTTGACACACGTGCATTATTTTTAAACACAAACACTGTTGTTCAGTGTTTCAACTTTTGCTCAATCATGCATCGCGCATTACATCACGCAATCGCGGAATGCGTGATTGTAGGAAACTAATGCTTTACATTCCAAATGTAATATTGTAATTCACATTGTTTGTTTATTGTTCTTGTACTAAAAAATATTTGATATTGTTATTTAAGATGTCTTCAGCATATCATTTAGAGACTGCATTTGAAGAATTAAACTCATTGGCAAGATTTCATCCATCAAAAGGTTATTCTTGGGAAAATCGCAGACCTGGTCAGCCTACTGGTCCTGTAACAGCACCTCCACCATCTCCAGTTAAAGTACCCGGGAAGAGAGATACTGAAGAAGCCAGTTCCCAATTTCAAAGGTTACGAGTAGACATGCTATTAGTAGAATTAACAAGAAAGTTTCCTTTACCTTTACCTCAAGCACTCGCAGCAGTACCTCAAAATGTTATAAATAATCAACAAACAAGTAAATATGTTTTATAATATTAAAGGATTTTTAATTTTTATGGTGTATGAATTACTTGTATTCTAGTTTAGATATTTCAAATTATTATTTTAGTACCATATTAAAGTTTTATAATTTTCAAGAAAAAAAGAGCTGATACTGGGGATGGTAGTGGTCACTGTTGTATGTGAGAAGTTGGGAAGGTAGGATACATAAAGTTAATTCATTTATATCTGTAAGCAATGATAAACCATTGCTTAACGAAAAACGATTCCAAGTGCATTTCTGTAATACATAATTTGAAGTGCCGTAATTTTTTTTTGCGATTTTCGTTTAAATTTGATTTCAAAAGCTTAATAAAAAATTTGATCACGTCTAGAAAAGGTAAATATAAGTTTTCCGTCCAAATTTAAAACTACTTCTTTCTATTTGGTTAATATCAATGAAGATGAATATATTAATAATTTGTCCTCTGAATTTTTGTTTTGTTCATTTATATATTATATGTTTGTTTTCTTATATTTTATTAGTTATAAATGGTTTAATAGTTTTTATTAATATTGAAAATGTTTTGTGACTGTGTATACAATTTTTTAAGACTACCTCTTTTACTGTTTGCTTTATAGACGAAGTGATTAAAAAAGAAGTGAAACAAGAAATAAAACAAGAAATGGTTCAAGATGTAATTATTAAACAAGAAGCACAGCCTATTAATTCTTTATCACCACCAATGAGGCCACCCCCAGAGAAAAAGTTTAAACCTTCGTGATTAATTTGTATGTATTACTATTTTTAGTTATTAATTTATATGCACTGTATTGTATATAAAGATTATATACTGTAATTGATGCTAATTAAGACTTTATTTTAATAAAATAATTTTGATTAAAAAATATATTGTCAATTGGCCATTCAGTTATTTACAAATATAATTTTCGTTGACCTTATTAGGAATATTAGGTTTTTAATGTAAAATAAATGTATTTATTTATTATTTTTATATTTTAGTAAAAATGTTTGTAACAATATACAGTAAAACTTCCATTAATGGTCATTTTTTTTTAGTCCCATCAAGTGTTATGCCTTTAGAGGTTTCCTATAATGGCACCTCTAAATAGCAGTCATTATTTTCGGTTTCTTTAGAGACCGTTATATGAAAGTTTTACTGTACTACATTAAAGTGATTCTTATTTGGGTAAAGAGAGAATTTTTTTTGATGCCCCTTAACTTAGTTCAAAAAAATAAAAAAATGTTTAGTACCATTTAAGTTTTCTTGGGCAATTATGTTGTCCCCCTGTAACAAGTTACATTTCAAATGTATTGGTTTTTTTGTTTATATATCACTATTTCATAGTGTGTATGAAAAAAGAATGTATCTTGTATGGCAATAATCTAGGTTTAGGTATTTTTTGATGTTGGTGGAAAATATATTAAACATTCCATATCACTTTCTGTGGGTTATTAATTTATTTTTAGTTTCCAAAAATATGGTCAAAATATCCTGAAAATCAATGATTTTTAGAATATTGGATCTTTGAAAATCATAGAAACATTTAATATGGGTCATTCTGTATATAATGTATATATATTATTGTATGCTTATCTGTATACTATATATCTTTAACTTCAATACACATGGATAATTTAGAAAACACTTTCGACTTATTTTATTGCTGTTATTTGATAATATGTCAATGATAAATTTTTGCAGGGACCTGTTTGTGGTGAGGATGCAGATGTCATATCCCCCCCCCCCATGAACTTTTATTAATTTGTTTGAAGTTCCTTGGTAGTTTCAGTTTTCCCGGAAAAAAAAATATTGTATAGTTGGTTTCAATTTTTAGTCATACTAATTATTATCATATATATAAAATATGTTTAGTAAGTAGTAGTTTACTATAATAATAGTAATTATCTATAGAATATGCATAAATATTATTAAAAAAAAGTACCTATGGACTATCATAATATTTCAGTGCATTATATTTCGATATCTATGTTATAAATGCGACCATCGGAATATTAATATATAATAGTATTAACAGTTTTAGTTTAATAAACTTTGAGGAGGACTCGCTCTGATTTTTACTTATAGCACCTTGTCTGAAAGAAAATCGGTGTGGGGAGGTCATTACCTTAGAGGTCATTTTTTGATTTTCTCCGGAGTTTTCTCAGCAAATGTGAAAAACCAAATAAAATAAGGGAAAAATGTAGGAAAACTGAGAAAATCGGTACAACATTGACCAAATATTATTAAAGAATATGTATAAAAACTATTTAATTACTTTACTTTAAAAAGACATAGATTGTTGACAAAGCATAATTATCAACTGAACTTTGCTCCGAATCATTTTTTCGTAAGCAATGGTTTATCGTTGCTTACAGGTATACATTAAATTATCTATAATATTGGCTGCATTCGTCCCCATTATTCTTGGATGTCTTTTTCAATTTAAGTTCATTAAAACATGCAGTTTAGCCGAACTTCGCTCATAATCGTTTTTCGTTAGCAATGCGTACCGATACAAATTATATTAAACATTATACCTTCTAAATTGATTAGGTATTAATTACAACAATAGCACACCCATTTTTCGAAGTAAGTATTTTTTTAGGTAGGTATCTTTTTATATCTTAGTAAGTATAGTGCGATTATTTTTTCTTGCTTTTTACAGTTGTTCAATATTACATTGTTTTTCAAGTTTTAATATCGTCTGAACTAAAGTGAGAAAATTACAAAAGTATTTTAAGATTTAAATAAAAGATTCAATTTATTTGTATAATATTTATACTTAATTATTTAACGTTCTATAAAACAACTAGAAAAAACAAATACATAGGTAAGTAAGTAGATAATTCATAATATAGGTACTCATATTATGTGGATCAAAAATATAGATATTTTTAATTTCCGAAAACCTAATTAATTACTTAATCACTTAACGATATGTACTTTTACTTACATATTTATAAATAATACACCTACCTGTATAATTGGCATTTGAGAAAATGTTACAAATGAGTTAATGAGGTTGAATATTTATTTGTAATAGCATAAAAGTTGTGTTTGGTAACTAAATTTACCAATCGCCGATGTTTGTACAACTGACTGGTAAAATAGAACTTACAACAATATTATAGTATCGTTTAATAATACCTATGTCAATTAAACGAACAAAGTAAGAAAACAATTAAAACATAAGTTTCCGTGACATATTCCGATTCGTTTTTTGAAAATTTCGTTCGCAATAAACAAGCGTATAGGTATTATAAATTATTACAGGTGGGTATCGATCTTACACGAACACCGTGCGATGCATAATTTTTATGGATAACGTTGTGTTTGACGTTAATCACGATGATGTGGTCGACGGAGTTTTTGGCGGGGCCGTCGTGATCTTTTTGAACCCGTAAACCAGCAGCACTGTGTACAAGACAAATGCCAAAGATATGGTTATCATCACGTACATGAACAGGTTGAGCTCGGGTTCCCGGAAACGAGTTTTCTTCAGCCACTCCAACACCTCGGTTTCAGTTTCCAGACATCCTGCAGCACAAATACAGACGACCCGGATTATTTTGGAACGTAGGTATATTTTATCTGAATCGTATATCAGCAGGATCGAAGGAGATTTAACATAGACTTATAGGTACGATTTGGTGGAACTAGCAATGTGAGGCAAATGATAAAACGGTTAGGCCACACACAATGAGGACAGGAGAAAATCAACCAGTAAAGGGCGACACAAAAATGGAGCTCCAGGGAAGATGTACTTCTATAGGAAAATATGGAAAGACATGGTGGAAGGGAGTTTGAGAGTAGAAAATTGGAGAGAGATGGATAACCTGATGGAAAAATCTATTTATTTACTAAACAGAAAACGGGTTTTAATCCAAAACAATAACAATAAAAATACTAGTAAATTATTATGACGGCAATAAATTATTATAGTGACTAGTTGTGTTAGTGAAGAAGTAGTATATCGCCGGAAACCAAAAATTAAACGCGATGAGATGGCATGGATTTAAAAAATTGTATAATTGAATAAATTGCAAAACTTGTAAGAGCATGTAATATATGCTGAAACATTTTAAATAAATAACAAAACAAAGAAGTTTTATTTATTATCTAAAAAATATTAGTACCTATAGAATATTGTTTTTAAAATCTATCTTTACTTTAGATATTTTTAAACTTATTTTCCTTAACTACATTTTAAATATTCAACCCTTATAATATAGAATTAATATGAACGATACCTTGGCTATTCAAAATCTCTAAGTTATTATTTATACTTATTAAAATCAACAGTATGATTATTTTACAAAACATGTATTGTAAAATGAGAATTAAGAGAAAAATTTATTGAACAAAATGTACTGTAGTGTAAATGTTAAAATAGTGCTGAGCCATAATACAAATAATAATATTGTTAATTATTGTAGTATCATGTAACATGAATAATAAATTCGAAAAAATTCTAAACAATAATGACAATAATGTTAGAGTCCTTCTTAAGAGGACGTCATACTCGCATCTAGTGTCTCAGTCCAACTGTCGGACAACATACAAAAACAATACTTACGCAGAATAAGTAAAACTAGCTTAATTTTGATTTTAGAGTAAAAATATCTATTATGAAATTTATAGGGAAAAATATTTCGAAGGGAATTTCATATGTTTTTTTGAATTATGAACTATTAAAAAGTAACAATTATTTGAAAACTAAAAATATAAAGGTTTTGTACATTTTATATCGAGTTGTATATTTTAGATAATACAAAAACCCTATGCCACTCCTTGCAAAATATTGTTCTCTATACATTTTATAATAGGTACTTTTACTCTAAAATCAAAATTAAACAAGTTTTACTTATTCTGCGTAAGAATTGTTTTTGCATGTTACCCGGTAGTTGGACTGAGACAGATGCGGGCATACCGTCCTTTTAAGACTATAATAATGAAACAGATCGTGTTTTCACACAGTTTTACTATTACTTAGACTTTTGTTCTTTTTCTATACATATTATTTAATGTCTATAGGTATACCGTATATATTATTATAAAGTCATACATACTTTATATGTGTATATTGTATATTATACTTTATTATATAATACATATATATATATATATATATATATATATATATATAATTATTTTTTATTTGAATTAATAATATTACCTATACACTATTGTTATAATAATAATTTGGTATGAGATAATTATAACCTTTATAGAAAAATAGATTTCCGTTAAGAATATCATAAATCAGAAATATGATTTCTGATGCAGGGCTGACGAACTACAGTTAACTGAAGAGACTAGCTTGTGATAGGGCGGAGAAAATATGGGAAACTGTGAACCAACCTTAGGGTTAATACCAGAAGATAAAGATTTTCGAATTATCGAATTAAAATTAGTTTATAGAAGTCAATTTAATCGTATTTATGAATGATATGAATTGTCAAAATCTACATGGTAAAATTACATTTTGACTGACCTTTGTCACATATTATTTTATATTTTTTTTTTTTTAAGTTTAACTTTAAGAAAGATAAATAAAATAATTACTTAAATTACGGGGTAGGAAAAACATAATATACGACATAGTAAATAATAGTATTGAAGTAAAACAAATTTAACCTACTCTATCCGTTCGGACGGTATAACATTCCGGAGATATAATACTCATTTCGGGATATTGATGTTCGGACCGCGAACGTATATAAGTAAAAAAAGGTTTGAAATAAGAATTTTTGAAAACACTAATTTCCCTTTCCATTTACAGGCTTAGGATTGACAATCGCCGTGACGTAATAATAAACTTTCTACCGATTATTATAGTTCTGTGTCTGTGAAATGGAGGGCCTTGGTAATCATGGAAAGGATACCTACCTCTATAAACGCTTGGGAACTTGTTCCGGAAATACACTATGGCCGGAAGTTTGGTAACACCCCATTTGCGTGCGTATCGAGCGTCCGCCATTTTGACGAACGTGATATCCATATTGTTAGTTTCGTCGTCTATTTTCTCCAGCCTTGACAATACTTCTGCGCTTTCGGGCACATCGTTCTCGTCTGTCAAAAAACACAACGCCGTGAGTTTTCATATGATATCTACGAAAATATGGTACGATAGATATATTAGGTACCTATTATAATATTATACTTACAGAAAAACACGGTAACAAATTCGTTTTCATTGAGTAATTTCGTTAACATTTTCTTGTTCACCTCGTCGATTTCGTTTTTTATTTCAAACACGTCCTGCGAAGTTAACCACGACAAAACCTTGTCTTCGTCATTCAAATCTCCTATATAAATACCGTATAGTGATTTGTGAATTTGTTTTTTTTCTTTTTATACATTTTAGGTACTCGCTATTTCGTCATAATATCTATTTTACGTTTTTACCGTCAAACACTTCGGGCACTCTTTTTCTAAAATACACCAAGGACGGTAAACTAATGATGTTGTATTTAGCTGCGACATCCGGATCCGATATTTTAACCATGTCGATACCAAATAGATCAGCTTCACCGTCAATTATTTCTAATTCCTCTAAAATACCACCGCATTCTTCGCAGTTTTCTTCGTCTAGACATTATATTGTTTCATTTAAATTATTATCAAACTTCGGTTAAATAAAATATTCGGGTTATAGAATATCTTTACAGAAAAACACCGCTAATAGTAATGACTCGTCCAATAGCCTTTCCAGCATTCGGCTGTTTACTTCTTCGATTTCATCAGCGAGTTCACGGTTATCATCGTCTATTAACCATTCAAGAACCGATTCTTCGTTTTGTAAATCACCTGAAAACAGTGTTCAATTATAGATTGTTAAAATATCTTATACACACGTTTTTATAAAATTCGTGATCCAACCTTCATACAATAGAGGATTTCCATTTCTAAAGTATACGAGTGCTGGGAATGTCTTAATTGAATACCTTTTGGCTAACTGTGGATCTTGAATTCTTACCATGTGTATACCATATAAATCGCACTCGTCATCTACTCGTTCTAAATCTTCGAGAATTTGGTCGCAAACATTGCATGCGTGTTTATCTACAACAATAACGTGTAATTACAATAAAAATAAATGACTATTATTGCAGTAGAACATTTCATATAAGAAAAATTACAACTCATTGATTGTATTTACTATCGAATACAATATTATAGTATTATATATTATATATACGGTTGTTTTATATATGAACTAAAATAATAACTATCAATATGTAATAACTTACAAAAATATACCGCCAAATATTGTGTTTCCTGAACAATTGTCTCTAACATAGATCTAGTGACTAATTCAATTCTATCTTCTGTTCTTTGTGTTATTAACCATTGAAGAACTTCTTCTTCTTCTTTTAAGTCCCCTTTATTTATAGAATAATAGTAGTTATTAATAATTTATTAAAAATATGTATAATAATATATCACCACAACTTATAATTTACCTCCAAAAAGATTTGGTACCGAATGCTCGAAGTAAACCAATGCCGGTAATTTTGATACGCCGTATTGTTCAGCAGCTTCAAGATCCTAAGTACCATAAATATTATTGCATAATTATTATTGTTGTATGGTTAAAATATTCCTGTCTTCCACTTTGTTTTCAAATTAACAATTTACCTGAGTTTTAATAAAAGAAATCCCGTGTCGTTCACAATCATCGTCTATATTTTCGAGTTCCTCTAATATACTTGTACATGTATCACACTCGTCTTCATTATCTGAAAATATAAGTATTTTATATACATATATAACATAATAAACATGAATACCTACGTAATATTAAATTTATGTCTAAATTATACAGCTATGACAAATGTGTTATTATAATCTACATGTTACACAGTGATTCACATCTAGTCTAGGTCAAATATTATAACAAACCGACTTCTTTTAATTTAGAAAATGAATAAGACAATTCAGTTGTAAAACAAATACAGTAATAGTATACTAGTAAAAGGCTAATACTACTGGTGGACGTATCATTGTTTTAGAAGAGTAATTAAAAGGAAGGGTATTATACAAAAATCGTAAAAAAATTACCAGTTTTTTCTGGTTATTAAGAAAACTACAAAAAATTGACGTATTCAATTTACTAACTAAATAAAAAAATTCTACAAGAAAGGTCCTTAGAGTTTTTGATTGGAGCAAGACTTCCGGTAGAAAAAGGTTTTACAAAAATACACAAAAAAAGAGCTGGTACTGGGGACGGGTAGCTGGGAAGGTAGGATATATTATAAAGTTATTTAATTTATATTTGTACGCAACGATAAATCACTGCTAACGAAAAACGACTCGGAGCGAAGTTCGTTAAAGCATACTCTGAGATGGTAGGTTTAACATTTGTTCACAATTAAAATAAAATTAATATAATATTTGAAACATTAATTTAAATTCACAATTTGTAATATCTATTTTATATTTTCATACAATTTTGAACTGTATTTAATAAAATATGATGCGTTCGATTTATGCAGGTATTAAGCACGTTTAACACTACTTCAATTTTTGAAGTAGCTATATATTTCAATTGAAAAATACCTGTGTGTTGTTTTAGTGTGGACCGAAATTTAGGTATCTAGGTAGTCAAAATTTGTCTGAAAATATATTATTTTAGATACCCGTAACTAATAATTAATAATACATTTATTCTAAATAGGTAATAGGTATCTGGTAGGTATATAAAATGATTTTCAATAAGGTCTAATATCCGTAGATTTTTTTTTAACTCGCAGAAATGTATTCTCAAGCTCCTCAGTTAAATAGAAATTAATTATTTAATGTAGTTAACTAATATAAAACGGAAGTCGGTCTTTATAAAATATCAACTAATTTGAAATATAGTATGTCAGTTGAAAAACGATTTGGAGTGATATTAAATAATTTTAAAATACGTCATTAATAATTTTTTTTTTCTAAACCAAAGCTTATAGATTAAATGCATACATGCATATATATTCTGAGCACCAAAAAATTAAAAAAGCCAATGATTCGCAGTCTTAAATGCGCTTTATCATCAAAGCCTCTATCCCCTGCAGCTCTTAGGTGAGGTACCATTATTGTTATTGTTTCCTTGAGTATTAGCATGGATATTATTATTATTTTCCGTGGAATCACTATCATCATTGTCATTGTTTTCATCATTATCATCATCATCATCATCATTATCATCATCGGCCTCTTTATCACCATTTTTACTATTATCTTCTTTAACGACTGATTCCGTCACAATAACATCCGGTTTTCCTTCTTTTTTTTTCACATCGCTATGGACACCGTTTTGTTGTTGCGATGATTTATGATGTCTACGGAACGCTTTGGTGTTGGACGCCTTACAGCGTTCGCACAGCGTCCCATTCCCTATATGCCGGACAACACACTCATATTTGACACTATACCACAGTATTACCGTTATAATATATTGTAATAAAATTATTATGGGTAACGGGTACGATGAGTCAAGACAGGCGTTTTGTTAAAAAATAGATTGACAACTTACAGAAAAATACTGCGATCGATTCCGAAGACGCTACGGCGTTTTTTAAATCCTGGCCGTTTAATTCTTCGATTATTTCTCCTTGGGGGTTTTTCTGAACAAGAAGCCAATTCAGTATATCCGTTTCTTCGTACAGGTTTCCTGAAACAAATTCTTACTATAAATTCCTCTGGTATTGCAAATATTTATAGTAGTAGTGTAGCCAGGATTACATATTGAGGGGGGGGGAGAGAAACGCCAGATCATTGTGGGTTTTTAGTATATCGTTGTTACGTACCTCGTACAGAATATACTGTTCATATTTTAAATTCTTTTTATTTAAATGTATACATATTACATATCTATTTTGTTTTTAGAGTTGCTTTACTTCGCCCTTGTTGGGTAGTTATTTTTTGTTTCGTAAGACCTATATTTTTTAGGATAGCCGCCTCTGACCTATACTATATAAACTGCATACACTATAAAGACTAAAGTAGGTAACATAAAAATGAAATAATTATGAAAATAATATTTTTTAAATACGGTCAATAGGGTAGAGGGGCACTGACACCGTGTTTCCGCTAATGTATTTAGACAATACGAAAAAAAGTTCAAAGCTAATATTATTTAATTACCTGCGTAAATTGTAGAGTCTTTGGACCCTAATTTGAAGAACACTATTGCCGGTAATGCAAATACTCCGCACTCTTTAGCCATCTTTTTATCATCAATTTTAACGAAATCTATTCCAGCGGCATCCGCATCGTCATCTATGTGTTCAATTTCCATCAGTACTTGTTTGCATTGTTTACAATCGTCACTATCTAAAAAATGCAATCAATTAAACATCACCCCGACTAGGTAAGTACTGTAACAAATTGCTAGTGCGTTCATAAAATAATAAAATAATCTCACAAAAGAACACCGCTACGTTTTCTGAACTCTGCCTGATTTTGGCAAACATTTTCCTGTTTACTTTTTCTATATGTTCGGTTAGTTCCATGTTAGACGGATCGGTAAGCCAATCTAAAATTTCTTCATCGTCGTCTATGTCACCTGAGATGCATATAGGTAATATTATGGATAAATATTTTAAACAGTCACATAATTTTAAACAGTTTTTATATTTTTATTATAATTATTTGTCAATAACTAACCGTCGTAGTTAATGTATTTGCTCTTTCGAAAATAGGTAATACCAGGAGGACTTCGGAATCCGTGTTTTTTGGCCATTAATCGATCACTGCATTTAACCACTTTTATGCCGTATTCCGCAGCTTCGTCGTCAATCAATTCGATGTGTCGTAAAATTCTGGGCACTCTAGTATCACCCTCGACGACTAAACGTACAAAAGTAGTTATAGATAATGATATTATTATTTAACTATATTTTATTTTTACTCAGTATTCATACTTACACCAGACAACCGCTAAAAAATCTTGGTTATCAATATATTCAAATAATTGTTCTCTATCTATATGCTCAATGCTTTCGTCTGTCTTTTGTTTTATCATCCACCGAAGAACTTCGTTTTCGTTACCGATGTCTCCTTGAATAATAATTTTAAAAAAAAGACAAAAATACAGCATATATATTATAGTTAAACTATACAGGTAATCGATGAGTTGTTTTCACCAAAAAGTATTAGTAAATATTTTTAAAAATTTATTCGAATTACAACTATTTAAAATGTAACTGTTGCATTAAAAAATAATATTAATACCTATTATACTTTAATCCGACTTTCACTACATATTACAATAAATTAACTCCGAAGAACTATTACGACAAAAACAAAATAATAGTAAACAAAAATTAAACTTCAACAACAGTAATGATTTTATTAATACATTATTTTGTACATATTAATTTTTTTATTTTTTTGGTAAACCTTAAATGTAACAACTAACATACTTATATTTAAACATAAATATGATTTTTATTAAAAAAATAATCAACAATGTTAGAAATACGATGTTAAAATTAATTTGAGTAAATCAAGCTAATTAAAACTGACCTAAATTAAGTTTCTACATGAGCAAAATCAGAGAAAACATTAAATAATTAATATTATATTTACACGGGAGAAAATAACAGCCTTTTTAAAATTGATTTTAACATTACTCGTAAATTGTAAAATTAAATTATTTAAATTAATATTTATACATTCTTGTAAATATTTAATAATAAATAATTCAAATAGAATCCAATAAATTGAATAAAGTAACTATATAATGACTAAAAATATAATGAGCAATTTAATTGAGTAAAATAAAGACAACGAAAATCTAATAAATTGTTGACAGTAGTCAGTAGTTAATATAGATAATTATTACTTAAATACAATAATAGATGTTACATTTCTGGTATTTTAATTTTAAATACAACATACAATTTGATGTGTAATGGACAATATTTAGAAATATAGTTGTTGAACAAAAAATAAATAATTTATTGTACATAGGTAGACAATTAAATGGTTTTTTTTTACCAATTTTTTTAATTTTTGTAACTTTTACTACCTAAAATTACTTATATATTAATTGATTATAAATTAAAATATATTTGGGATACATTGCTATTTTACGAGGAGTTTCTTACATTTAAGCTATTAAGTATTTTAATAAAAATTAAATTAATAATCATTAAGTGCCTGGGCCTCGAAAAAAAAAATATATAAATATATTATATTGTACAGAAAAATGCATCAATACTTCAATGATGATGACTAAATAAAAGCAAGTTTCTAATATTTTAGTTTCTGAAGCCCAAAAGACATTTAAAAAAAAACCAAAATAAATGTAAAATTATTAGGACGTCATCATTCTAGTTTCAATATTAGGATCTCAAAATCTTTATAATTAGATGAGAAAGAATAGTCTAATTTTTTAGAGTAGACAATTTACTTAGCTTATTTGAAATGTATTCTATATTTACAGTGATTCAAAATGTTTGTTAAAAATATTGAGGATTATATCAATATAAGTTATAAATACACCTGCATATATTTTAACAGCTCATAAGACAAATTTGAAGATAAAATGTTTTTAAATGAAAATTTTTTGAAAAGAATTAGTAAAATTTAAAAAAAAACCATATTTGCACAAAATCACATTTTCTTTTTTCACCATTATATTTAATCCCTAATACCTAATAGTCCTGATATTTTATTCTTAGGGTGAATTACAGATAATATTAGAAAATTATTAGAGTAGTGCATAACATGTCTAGAAAAAAAAAATAGTTAATACATTAGATTCGCCAAAAAATGTTATGGATATTTATTTCGAATATAATAGTATCTTTACTTAAAAGTTTTGTCTTTAAAAACCAAAACACCAATAACTTTTTTGTAGCCCAAATTTTAAGTTTTTGTTCAAATGTGGGGACAATATTTTATTTGTATAAATGTAATTTAAATGAAAATTTTCATTTTTTTAGTTTTTGTGTGTCATATTTCAGACGATCAAAAGGCTTTACCACCACCAGGAATCTTTTCCGTTATCTTTTTTGTTTTTTTTATCTTTTTTCTTGTTATTACTATCAGGCTTGCCATTCGCTTTTTGCTCGTTATCCTTAGGTTCTTTCTTTATAGGTTTTCCTGTTTTTTCCTTTCCAGCTCCTGTTTTTTCATTTTTGACATTGGTCTTCTCCTTTCCTGTAGATTGTGATTGAGGTTTCGGACAACATTGGTATGGCTCAAATGTCGGTGTGTTGGTCTTAGTGTTTCCCAAACCGATGTAAAAACAGCTGTCGCCTGCAGCAAAAGCCAAATTATATTAGCAATTTTTTTTTTTTGTATTTAATAATAAGACATCGTGAACAAATTATTGACGAAAAAGGTGACAAATACGTAAATGAATTTCAAATTATAAATGCTGAACAAAAGCTTGAATATAACAAGGATGTGATGGAACAAAATGCTGCAGACGACAAGCTGTTAGTAAAATAAAAACAACATTTACAAATTTATTATACTAAATATAGTAAATAGAAGTTGTATTTAAATAATTAAATATTCGGAACAATATTAGTTTTGGATATAAATATAACAAAATAATATCGAAAAGTGGTCATATATTTTATTTTTATCATTTCACCGTGAGAGTTAAATGGGCATAGATTGTTATTAATGGTATTTTATCATGTAGGTATCCCTGTCTAATAAAATTAGGTTGCTGATGTAGGATAATTATTATAACTTAAACAAATTGTAATAAACGTATTATTTATCGCTCATAAGTTTAAATGCGTGATGTATTCGTTAATTTTAATTGAACAATTTCTTCAATATTGCTAAATACATTCAACTTGGAAATTACCTAATATTAGTAAATATTAAAGTAATTACAATTTTTTTCCTTCAATATTTAAAAATTCACAACATGTGTTGTATGTGGAAACGTTTTTTTTTTTTAAAATTAACATGAAGAGTTATAAGTGTAGTGCCTTTCAAAATGCATTTTGGAAATATAGTAAATTAAATTGTAAAATTGAATTTTGTGAATTTACATTTCCTAGGACTTATATAATTAACGAATCTATTTATAATTTACAGATTATATTAAAAATGTTATTAGTAACTGCTAGCTATGAAGTATTTCGAATTTTTAGAACCAATATACGTATTATGATGTAAGTATTACTATATTAATCTGATAGCAATAATTTTACAAGGTAGGATCAAAATAAATAAAATTTTGTATGGGAGATTTAGTTGTAATTTTTTTTTTTGTAACTCTTGTATTGTTAATAATTTAATGAGCGATAATTAAAATGTAGAAAAAAAAACAAATTAAGAACACATATGACATCACCACTTTAAAAATGAGGCCATCTTGATAGGAATAGAGAAACCATGTTAAAAATATTTTGTTATTATAATTAGCTACTGGACAGATGCCGATTTATATTTTTAGAAAATCGGTATCTGATGTCTAATTCAACATTAAAACTTTTTTACACATTCAAACACGTGAGGATTTTTTTTACAATTATAAAGATACCTGTGTGCTCAATTTTTTGTAAATATTTAGTGGATTTCGTATCTTGAGGTTTTTTTTTACCACCTAAATACCACATAGAATATGTTAACGATTATCGAGAATATTGTGTTCCGAAACATTATTTTAAATCATTTAAATACATTAACATTAATATTATGTATCGCTTACTTTTTTGATCAATTATCCAACTTAACACTTTCCCGCTATTCTTAAGGTTACCTAAGCACAATATATAATATATAATAACATTTTAGACAAAAAATGTGTATAATAAATAATAAATAGGTACACGCACTACTACATATTATATTATAATAACATTGTTTTACAATTTGTTGGTCTCTTAATGTAATCATTACTCATAGTAATCGATTTGTATAGTTTCGTTACAAATTAAAATTCCCATTGTACATTTTCCGAATTTAGTATCTTAAGCAGTTGCATCAGTAAATATATAATATCGTGTGGCTGGGCATAAACAAAATGTTTATAACACTAAAAGATTACTAAGGTTATTTAGGTCACTTAACACAATGGTTAAATTAAATAAGTATATGTTTCTTAAAAATATTTAAAATAAAAAAATTATGTAATATTCAAAATTAACTTCACCGTTAGACTTGCGACCTGAATATCTAACTCTTATAATAATATTACGGGCCATAAAAATGTTTTTTTATACTGAGCCACTCAGTATATTATATGTTTACTGATGCACACTTTATATGGAGTGGTCGAATGTAACGGTTTTAACAATATTAAATAAAACAGAGTAATTTTATTTATTCGTGAAATATATAATTCTATATAATTTAATATTGTCGATTGAATTGAAAAAAATGTTATTTCAAAGTACTACGCTCGAATGGCGAGTATGTAAACACGAGTGTAAGAAAGGATTTTATTTTATAACGATATATACCAATCGAAATTGTATCATAATACCTATACGAAGTATATCAGCAGTATTTGACAATTTCCTAAATTTAATGTAAGAAATGTTTAGGAAATTGTAAAATTCTGCGTATATTATGTACAGAATCCTCGAATTAGAGTACACGCTATAGTTATAATATTATACAATAATATGATATTTTATAAAAAAATAAATAAAATTAACAAGTATCTCGAATTACGATGTAAATGTAAATCATATTTTGTACATTCACTTACACAAATATTATTATAGTAAGTAAGTTCGAACCAAGACCGGTATAAGTGATTTTTTACACTTAGGCAATATTAAATTTGGCGTTCAATCCTATATAATCAACTAAAAATTTTAGAGGGCTATTATTTTTAATGAGTAAAAAAGTCATCACAACTTTGAGTCTTCATTTTACGAATAAGATAGATTATTAGTTCACAAAACTATGGAGGTCTAATCTAAAATATGGTGGTCTAATCTAAAATTGCTTTTAATACCAATATATATTTTCGTTTTGAGCTCAAGGTATCTTTGTAAATTATTAAGATAAATACCAAAAACATAAATAAAAAAAAAACCATTTTATTGTATTTATAACATGCAATTTAGATTTAACAGAGTGTTAAAAATAAATAGTGAATATAAATTTGAATATAGCTAGCCATACTTCGAGTGATGCTCGGTAAAATTTTAGGAACTTTAGAAAAAATGTTCAATCAAAATACCATTGGGTGAAAATTTCGCGTTTTTTTTAAAGTACTGCAATGCGTGAGAAAATCAAAGTATTTTAATCACAATATAATGGTTTAAAAAAATATATAAAAAGCAAATATTTGAAAAAAGTATTAGGAATTTCGAAAAAAGGTTCAATTAAATTTCCACAAATTGGGAAATTTATATCTATTAAGGTATGACATGGTATAACATAAAAAAAATCTGAGCGTTTTTACTAACCGAAAGTTATTCTCGGGAAAAATAAATACAATAACAGTATTTACAATATTAAATTAAAAACGTGTTTTTCTTGTTTTAACCTTACTTAACAGTCTTGAGCGATTTGTGATCAAAATATAATTTTACTGTTCTTCTATTTTTATTTTTGAAAAGTTTCTTTTTTTGTTAAAAAAATCATCAGTACTTACTACGTATATGTTCAAAAATAATTCTATTATTTGATTTTTATAGTTCTCTTAATGTTTTTACTTAATATTATACTTAACTTAATATTATTTTAGAATTTACAATCGGAGCAAAAAATGCCGATCCTATCAAAATGTCGGCGATACCGCTATAAGCCTATACCTTAAACCGACCTTGGTTAGAACTAATATGAAGCCATTGAAAAACGCGAGTATACAATTTTCGTTCAATATTTTTTATGATTAAGGAATTATAAAAAATCATTATTTTCACAAATTTAGTATAAGTTATAATAACTTAAAACTATAGAAATATGTATTTGAATACAAATATCTATAAAAAAACTAAAAACAAACAATGTGTATAGGTATATGTTAAATATATTATATTCTCTAATGTACCTATACCTTGTATAGGTTGGGTATTTTTGGTGTATGAAATTAAAAATATTAAAATTATGTTATTTAATATACATATTTTATACTTGCGTATGAATACAATTATATATAATCAGTAATTACTATAGGTAATGTTATCATAACGTTTGAAGTGTATTATACGGTATGTAGTATTATTCTAAGCTAAAATTAATCTGACGTGTGAATATTTTTAAGTACATATACCTAATTTATGATGTTCTAATCGATATTATTTCAAAACATATAATAATATACACATGACTTAATAACTATGATATAGGTACTACATACAATATTGTAAATCAGTATTTATCGAAAACTTATTATACTTTGATTCGGTCGTTAATGTTTTTTAATAATAAATTATAATATTATTGTGTATTGATTTTTATACAAACTTACCGTCGTACATGATTGGAACTCCTGTTTCGTAATAAACTAATGCGGGAAAACTGAAAATACCGATTTCTGACGCTAATTTCGAATCGGTTGATTTTACAAATTGAATACCTTCTTTATCGGTATCATCATCTATAGTTTCCAATTCTTCTAATATACTAGGACAAGCCTCGCATTTATCATCGTCTAAAATATATGATAAAATAAAATTGTTTTGTATAAGTAAGTAATATAAGTAAATGTTACAAAAAATAACAATTAATACAATTTAAAACTTTTTTTTTAAATATGAATTGGTGAAATAACTTTAAAATTTTAATGAATAATAATGCGATATGAATTTATTTTTTAAAAAATGACAAATTAAATTTGTTTAGACAATTTTGTATAAAATCAACCAATTATAAATATTATTCTGTAAGTACCTAGTTAAACTGTATACAACTAGAATAAAAATGTTTAATCGAGCTTCAGTCAAATTGTTTTTTGTTTGCAATTATTTAGCATTTTCTAATTCTGAATTCAAATTAAATTACTTTTTATTCTATATTTCAATCTTATTCTTGTGTGTAACAGAGAATTTAGGTATTTAGGTATTTATTACTATAGTTCTAATACATTCTAGCGCTGTTACGCCCTTAGGCCGGTGACTCTGACTGAATGTGTCCCGGGCCGGAAGAAGTAATGCTAACTCGGTTCCCCTCGTGACTCAGTGGTAATTTCGGAAAATAAGTTCTAATAAATTAATAAAACCAAAATACTATATAATATAATAATTTTTGTCTAATTTAAAATTATATTAATTATTATTTACAGATGAGTAATAATATTTTTCGAATGCTTGAAATATGAATAAGTGTATATTTATTATAATTATGCTTATTTTTTATATAAAAAAAAATACATTGTATACGTACAAAAGAAAACTGCTAAATGTTCAACGTCATTAATTAAAGTTTGCAATGTCTTTCTATCGACACTTTCAATAAAATCCGGTTCGGATTCGTGTAAGTCAAGAACCCATTCTAAAATGGCTTCTTCATGCATCAAATCTCCTATCAAATATAATATTGTGTTATTCAAAATTCTAAAATACTTCTCACAGACGTTTACAAAATTTTACCTGCGTATACTTTTCTGAATTTTTCTCTGTAAAATAATAATGATGGCAACCCAGGCAAGTCATATTCTTTTTCTATTCCTTCGTCGGAAGTTTTTAAAAATTGAATGTTTTTTTCTTCACATTCGTCATCAATATTTTCCAATTCAGCGATTATTTTTTGACTTTTTTTGTCTCCTTCTTTATCTATAAACAAAAATGTAAGTACATTTATACTATAAGTAGTTATAAACTTATTATGGTTAGAAATAACTTACAGAAAAATACAACAACATATTTTTTTTCATTTAATATTTTTTCTAGCATTTTAGTATTAACTTCCTCAATACGTCCAGGCACCTTAAGAGTTTCTTCATCTATGAGCCAAGTTAAAACCTCATCTTCATCTTCTAAATCACCTGTATAAACTAGTGGTTCTTTGTTTCTAAAGAACACTAATGATGGGAATGTTTTAAGTCCATATTCTCTAGCAATTGACGCATCTTCTGTGGTAACAAAAACTATTCCGGTTTCATCTAGTTCATCATCAATATTTTCAAAACCATCTAGTATACTATCACATTCTTCTCCTTCTTCGCATCTGCCACCTAAATTTAATGTGAGCATTAAAAAAAAAAAAAAAAGTAAAGAAATTATGTTTCTTTTTGTCTACTCACTAAAGTAAACCAAAACGTATTCATGTTCAGCGATGAGAGTTTTGAGTATCTCGTCAGTAACTTCTTCAATGGTAGCAGTAGTTTTTTGCTCGATAAGCCATTTTAATACTTGTTCCTCGTTTATGAGTTCGCCTAAAATAATGTTTAAAAAAAAAATGTGTAATGTGTTCTACTTGTATTTAATAAAAAAAAATCATAATTTTCAATACAATAAAATTAATTATTTACCTTCATAAATAGCTGGAATTTTGTTTTCAAAGTAAACTAATGTAGGTAAATGATCTATTCCATATTCTTTAGCTTCATTTTCATCGTCTAAACGTACTATAACAATACCTTCTTTATCTAGTTCATCATCAATATTTTCCAATTCATTTAATATACGAATATCTTCTTTATCTTCCTTGTCATCTATTTACACAAATCATAATATGTAGGTATAAATATAATTTATAACTCAGATTTAAAAATTATTGGTCACACTTTTCTGTTTTCACGCAGTCATATTTTATTCAATATAATACTATATTATAGGTTATTTGGATTTAGTAATATATTGTATTACTAAGTCCATACAAATAAATTATTACTTACAAAATAATACTGCCAAGTAAGGTTCAGACTCAATGAGTTTATCAACAATTTCATCGGTGACTTCTGGGATTTCTGAATGTCTTTTTTGGTGTATTAACCAACTTAAAACTTCTTCCTCTTTTAGTAAGTCGCCATTATAGATATGTGGAATTCTTTTTTCGAAATACATTAATTTTGGTACTGCTGTTATTCCATACTCCCGAGCTTCATCGATATTACTTATTTTTACAAACGCAATTCCACTCTGGTCACATTCATCATCAATATTTTCCAGCTCAGTCAGAACCTTTTGACTTTTTTTTTGGTTTTTATCATCTGAAAATATCGCATAAGTGTATAATTGTACTATTTATTACTGAGTATGTTTAACTCACAAAATAAAACCGCCACGTTTGATAATTTATTAATAAGAATATCAAGCATTTCATCAGTCACGTCTTCGATTTCATCATGTTTTATTTGATAACTAAGCCATTCCAATACTTTTTCTTCGTCTTCCAAATCTCCTAAAATGTAATTGAAATTATTGTAGTATATTGATGAAATTATACTAATATAATTTAAAAATAATATTACAAAAGAAATAAAAGAGCTAACATTGCTAATGGGTGCGCCTACTGTTGGAAGTTGGGAAGGTAGGATATAAACGTTATTAATTTATATTTGTAAGCAAAGATATAATTACTAATAGTTACTAACGAAAAATGATTCTGAGCGAAGTTCGTTTATAAAAGATTTGTTAGGGTGTAATATTTACGACACTAATTTTTTTTAACCACTAATAACAACCTAAAATAAACCTCCTGTTAAATTTCCATGCAATTCTGTTTGGTTAAACAGTTATATCCACTTAGGACCTACCAAAAAAAACTATGTAAAAATTCGTAAACATAAAAAGCCTGTAAATATTTCAAAAATCGCTAAAATGTTTTGTTCACGTCTAGAAAAAACAAACATAAGATTTTTGTCAAAATTTGTTGAACTATTTTTAGACATTTTAACTTTGCGAGTTTTTACGTAATTTTTATGCGTTAGGTACTACAAGTATGTGGATAAAATTGTTATACCAAAAAGAAAAGAACTTTTAAAATATGTATACCGAACTCTACTCAAAATCGTTTGTTGTCAACAATGATTATTCGTTGCATACAGATATACATTAAATTACCATACATATCCTACCTTCCCAACTTCTCACCTGCAGTAGTGGCTCACCCATCGTGTTAAGTATGCCTGTCTTTTTTACTTTTCACATTGTATTTTTTGCCGAATAAAATGTTTTACCATTATGTACTTTCAAACTTGTAAAAATAATTTGACATTGCCTTGTTTGGAGATGAAATTTAGTCAAATAGGTACTTATCTAATATCCAGTAACTACAGTAATTATATATCCTGTAGTTCTAATATATATATATCTAAATTAAGTTCATACTTCTTTTACTCTTTCATTTAAAAATATATTATACCGTTATAAAGTGTTGGTACTCCGTTTTCAAAGTATAATAAGGCTGGTAGTTCTTCAATTCCGTACAGTTTTGATTCTTCTTCATCGTCTATTTTTACGAATACTATTCCTAGCGTATCGCACTCATCATCGATGTTTTCAAGTTCATTTAACGCTTTTTGAGATTTTTTATCATTATTATCATCTAAAAACATACATATATATTTTTTTATTTACGTCATACTAATTTTACTATAAGTATGTAAGAATGGTTCCAGAAACTTGGTTAGGAGAGCTAAGTCATATTTTTCAGAAAACTGTACAACAAAAAGCATATTTTATATTTTATAATGTATTTATACTTCATAGTTTAGATAATATATACCTCTAACTATACGTGTTTGTAATAGTTTATAGTATAATTCTTTTTTTTAAAGTTGTTTTGAATAAAAAAAATACTGGCTAGGGTACCGTGACCCTTATCCCCCCTTTGGAGTCACCCTGTAGCTATATTAAACGAGAACATTGAATACATACAGAAAAATACGGCAATATTTTTCCCTTCTTTAATAAGACGATCCATCATCTCGTTAGTAATGTCTTCGATTTCATCTTTTTGAAGTTGATCAATAAGCCATTGTAATAGTGCGTCTTCGTTTTCAATATCACCATCGTAAATGTTTGGTATTTGTTTTTCAAAGTAAACAACCGCGGGAACAGAATTCAAACCAAACGATGAAGCTGCATGAGGATCTTCAATTTTTACAAATTGTATCCCATGTCGGTCACAATCGTCATCAATTTTTTCTAATTCATTCAAAACTTTTAAAGAATCTTCGTCGTCATTATCATCTAAACAAATTTAAGTAGTTTTCCATTTTAAATCAATTTTAATTAACTAACACAAATAATATTTAAAATCTTACAAAATAGTACAACAAGATTATCAACAGAACCAATAAGAGTGTCCAACGTTTTTGATGTAACATCTTCGATGACATCTTCTTCATCTCCTGTAGATTTGTTCTGTACTAACCATTCGAGTACATCTTCTTCTCTAGTTAATTCATCTAAATTTGAGAACATTAATGTTTCAAAAACCTTGTTAATAAAAATATTTAACTATTATATATAAATATGTCGTTTGACAAACCACTGACGTTCATAAACAATTGGTATTTGATGCCGATAATACACCAACTTAGGCAAGTCTCCTAAATTGTACTCATCTGCTAAACTTGAGTCGTGTATTTTTACAAAACCAATGCCCAACTGATCTGCTTCATCATCAATATTCTCTAGTTCTTGTAATGCTTTTGCACATTTCTTACAGCCAACTTTGTCTGAAAAGATAACTATAATGTTAAAACAATTATTTGAAAGAAAACATTTTAAATGACATTCTCGCTACTGCAAGGATAAAGCTATGAAAGGTAATACATTTCTAAGGGGATGCCTGATGGATGTATAGCTGAAAATGGGTTACAACCATTTCACTCACGAATATCCTTCAAAGTGCATTCTGATCGTTCAGGACCTAATTCAATGTTATTTATCAAATTCAACATATTAAACATGGTAATATAATAATAATATTAACATTACCTATAATGTATTAGAGAAACAATGTATTTTACTTACAGAATAAAACAGCTACGTAATCTGTATCTTCGATTATTTTCTGTAATATTTTTGAGTTTACCTCTTCAATACGATCTGGCAAATCTAAAGCTTCTAGACTAGTTAAAAATTCTAATACCGATTCTTCATCCATTAGATCTCCTAAACAAACCCATTTTTAATATAAACCTTAAATTAAATGGCTAAATAAAAACAAACATTATAAATGTACATGCCTTCATAAATAATGGGTTCTTTCTTTCGGAAATAAGTGAGTGCTGGAAAATTTTTAATTCCATAATGTTTAGCTAGCCGTTTGTCATTAATTTTCACAAAATCTACTCCAAAAGTATCAGTATCGTCATCAATGTTTTCGAGTTCTTCTAATACTTTATCACAAGTAAGACAACTTCTGGTATCTAAATACATATATATTACATATATTACATATATTTTTAGTATTTAATTTAAGAGTTGAAGAAATTTGTATTTATCAACAAATTCAAAATTACGAATAATAATTATAAATGGTTTATTCATTGGCCAATAATAAACATGCAAAACCTTAAAAAAAAGAGATTCTTACAATTATTGTAAAAAAAAAAAAAGTTTTAATTGATTATTCGATAATACTGAGGCAAAATATGTTCTTATAATTAAAAGCACACAAAAATAAACTAAAAACCGTGAAAAATCAAATATTTCGAATAAAGGGCATCTTAGTTTGTTCACAAAGATCAATAATACAATAGTACGTTTCCTACTTTTGCCACAGATAATCAAAAATTTCTTTCAAAGAATCAGATACATTCAGTAGCATTAAGTACAATAAATTGTATACGGTATACTACTAAAAAGTAGTTTTTCGTATGTTATCGGTGACGTAGCTATCATAGGGAAAAGTAGGACAGTGCCACTAAGCCCCAGATCTCATGGAGCATCGGGGTTTTTGGATAATTTTGAAATTACTTTATTAAAATCTTTGCAAATTTTGATGTATTTAATAGTAAATATTCCAAATCGTATGTGTTGATTCCAGTCTCAATCAATATTAAAATAATACACACAATATACAATAAACGATGTTTTTTTCATTATTGTTATTTACTGTTATTTTTCTTTGCTATTGTTATCCATTCACTACCTTGTTATTAATAATAATTCCATGTATTCCATTATAATTGTCATTTGGCATTTAAATAAATAAATAAAAAAAAATGTAATATTGGCGATTTACATATTTAGGACCGTTATCACAATGCCTCGTAAAATATTATTTGTTAGCGCTAATTGTCAGTTTATCAACAGAATCGAACATCACACCAGTTGATCCATTTAAGTGAGTACATTCATTATCTCAGAAAGTATTCACTTAGTGTAGTGGTGCATTATACCGCGTATAATGTGTGTACCGCTACACAAATGATACTCCACTCCTCTCATCCAACCTAAACTAAAAGTGAAATACCTCGTTAATGGGTTGACGGAAATAAAAAATATCAACACTAAAATTTATTATAACTAATATTCCAGTAGGTGATAGTTTTACCACCAAAAATAAGGCTGACAAAAAAATAACGTAAATATATAGTTGTAGAGCAGCTTGTTTTAGTAAATGTTCTAGAAAACAAATTCTGGAAAACGTTAACACTTTCCGAGATAATGAGTGTACCCTTTTAAATGGATCATCTGGTATTTTGAAATGAAAATGCAACATTTTAATATTTTACACAATTTACTTAAGTATAATATCTGTTAAATGATTAATATTCATTCACTAAATATATATTTAAAATAAACGTCGTCAATGTCCACTGTAATAAGCATTAACATGTAAAAATAAAAAAAATATCTTAAATTTATATGTATATTTATTTATATATTTTTATTAAAAAAAAATTTAAAAAGTATAAATGACAAATATCTTATGAGTTATGATATATTATACTATATTCTTTCAAATAATTTGGTTTGTGCCTATTCTCATTTAAATATTTTTCACATACCTAATGTTTTTATTTTTTTCCAAAACAATTCTGCATATCATATTGTTTTTTTTCACTTTTTGAATGTTTCCAATTAATTTTGTGTTCATTTTCTTTTGCCACTTATTACTACCTCCAATTGGATTTTGGCCAATCAGTACTTAAACAGAGGGATGGGAATGAACCGTTTTTCGCTCATAAAAATTAACCAATTTCAGAAATACATTTAGATTTTTTAATAGATTAAAATAAAATCCAAACAAACTGTGATAACGATGGTGATCACTCTATAGCCATCTCTCAAATCCGGGACTACTATAATTTTTAATCATTTCAATTTATCTGATGAGATTTTTTTTTATTTGCCAATTTTAATGCAATGCTAATGTAAACGATATATTCGTTAATGTTGTTTTTACCATTAGGTACCCATAAATATATGATATGTAACGTGTGCAATGTGCACAAAAGAATGGTACCAAGTTGTAAACCGTAAACTTTGCAATGAATTTAAAATTAACACCTTAAAAATGTACATTTTGTCATCACTAAATGCGGTTGTTAATAACCACTAGAATCTATGTAGAAATATTATACTCCGATGAAATAAATATAATGAATTTATATTCATTTTTATTCGTTTAAAATAGTATTTAATATATATATAAACAAACACCACATATATTAATGTATAACATATATATTTGAATTTATTAAACAAGTTATTTATATCCTCCACATTCCACATTATCAAATTTCTTTATCTTGCACATTTTTATATTGACGGTTAATTAAAACTTTAAAAGTTGTAAACCAATATTAATCGTTTTCATTTACGAGCATTAATGACGGGACGCCCTTTTAATTTTGAATTAAGACCAAATATTTGGATAAGCATAAATATTTTACTACCATTTATGCAGCGGTGAACATTTTAAAATATTTGTGTACATTCTTATATACTAATTAAAACAGCATTCCCTCTGTCTAATTTGTTCTCTCCCACTGAGTCACAGAAATCATTTTGGGTATTAAATAATACACCAATCATACATTATGGCGGGGTGATCAATTCTGCGAAGCAATTTTTGTTTTGATTTTGAATTTGATTGAAATATTTCAAATGGTAATCGGTGGTGTTAAAAAAAAAAAATAATCTCTATATGCGATTAGACAAATGTGTAGACAACACAAAATTGAGATTTTTAATAACATTAAACTTTTAACAATTGTTACATAAAATCTTCGTTTTAATAAGTACCTATAAGTTTCTCATTTATTGGATTAATGTCATTATAACTATTGCTGTGGTGGTGCTACAATTTAATAACCAACAGTATAATATTCGTGTGAAAATTTCATCATTTTTATAAAACATTTCGAAACAGCTGTTGTGCACGATGTCAGTTTAGCAAAGACGAAATGAACGGGCCACACTACCTCAGATGGAGTCAGACGTGTGCTATTATTATCTCCGGCGTTCGGCCTCCGCGAAATCGTCAACAGCACAGCCGAGGGATTGTATAACCGTAATGCCATGACCGTCGCGCGCGCGTTTTACAATCCTAATTTCTCTCTCTTCCACCGCGAAATACTCTTCCATTTAGAAAGGTCAGAAACTAAAACAATTCAAACGGACTGCCAACAAACTTGTACTATACAGTGGGATACAACACGAAATCGGATTATCCTATAATAACGTTTTTTTTCTCCAAAATAACGTCCTTCGACTCTAAAAAAAAAAATAATAATAATAAAAAAACCATTCAACTTTCGGGTTGTATTCTATAACGACGAAGTCTAATAATAACGTTTTCACGAGGGGAGGTTATTAATAAAATCGTCAACACATCTTTGTTTGACCTAGTGAATTATAACGATGACGTATAGTCCCGGTACCCACACTTAACATTTTCTAACACGCCGCCGTGTACTAATAACGATATAATGCATGCCAAAACCAATATCCATTTAATACGATTCAAATTTTACACTTATTTCACATTCATTTTAACATACTTAAAATAATATAAAAACAAACAGCCAGTTTTAATATAATAATATACCGTATTATAGGTACGTCACACACAAGCACTAGGTATCAAATTACGGTTTGGCATAGAATAACAATCGTACGTATTATTTTTACGATAACAATTCAATTTTCTTCTTCTCCACAGTATTTTTTTCGATCAAACTACGTTAATTTGATATGAAGAAAAACCGATTCTGGTTGTTTTTAATCAAATTAGATAATTATAATAATTATTATAACCGAGTTTCTGTTATTTTAACAACACATACTTAGTTTGGCAATTCATTCAAATAGAATTAATATTTTTCTTTTTCTTTTTTTTTCCGCTATTGAAATCCCAGCCAGTGACTCATAATATTATGCGGTTGCCAACTCTCAGTTTTTAAAATTTGGGGCAAGATTTATAGATTTTGCCAAATGGCTGTGCAAGTATCTGTTCTTACTCCAGTATAATATGACCATTCAACAATTTAAATTATTCCTTTACGAGCAGAGTTTTGTTTTTTAAATAAATACTATACATAATCATAATTTAAACAAATATTTGAGTGGATAATTTAATGAGGTTTTCGTAACTCGTTTTGTTTACGCGGTGGAGTAAAATATAGTCTTCATATCTTTTTTTTTTATCACCCACGAATTTGACGAACTTGTATGATTATACAAATCTTACAGCTTCGAGACTATAATATAAGTATTTTCATTCCACAACATTTTATTTATATACTCAGGACGAGTTATTTTTACTGCTTCTCGATTGTTATTATATAATTCGTACGAGCTATTTATATCACGTATGCATGTTGGAAATGTAGTCACGGGAAAAATTATCCCTAAACAAATCGAATAAAATAAATAATAATATACTATATAGGTATTCTAACCTATCCCAACGAAACCAGGGATCTCCTACACCTCAATCCCAACGTTAATTGGGTAAAAAATAAAAATAAAAAAAAAACACGTGCTGACACTACTCACACCAAAACACGGCGACGTAGTCCTTTTCGTTGAGCACTCGTTCCAGCTGCTTGGCCGTCACCTCTTCGATGATCGGTTCCGTTTGGTCTTTGGGTCTGTACGTCGCGGCCGGTGGTTCGGGCGTCGGAGTCACGGATCTGCCGGTCGGCAAGTCTTTCTTGGCCTCGGTGTGCTGCTGGAACGCGACCGCGGTAAACGCGAACACGGCCAGCAAGCCGCGCCACGTGAATCTCTTCATAATTTTATTATAATGTGATGTACCTATGTATTTTTTATTTATATTTTATCGATGTAGTTTCCGGCGGAAAGACGACGACGATGACGACGCGACGGCGTGCGCCCAGATCTCCGCGATTTATTTTTTTCGAAACTGGCAGACGGAAATAACGATAAAATTGTAATTGTTATTCGTGTACTTTTATCAAAGCGGCCGAGGGACAATAGCCGCGGGGGCTGGAAAACGAGAATCCGCGAAAACCGTCTTTATTACGTTTTATTATTGCTATTATTTTATTCGTATTATTTAATTTTTTCTTTTTTTTTTTACCGTTCACTTATTAACGTATTAGTATTATTATTATTTTTTCTTTTTATGCCGGCCGGTCTATGTCATGATTTTTTTTTGGAACGGAAGACTGGTACTGACCAGCAGCCGCATGACTAGCTAACGCGCGCACTGTGTGCCTGGGCAATCGTCTGCTGTGTTTGGGACCGCCGCCGCCGCCGCCACCGCCGCTGCCGCTGCCACCGCTAATCACTCCTACACTCGCGCGAGCTTTGAGCAAGCTTAAACAGTGTTGTACGGCCGCCAAAATACATTCGGTTTTTATATTTTTTCACGCAAGCAGACTGCTGTCGGACGTGCTATCTATTAATCCGACACAGTCTAAGCTTCAGGGCAACTTGAGCATATTTCTTTGACTATTATACCAAATATTAATGGCGTATTTTCGGGGAGGGATCCCGAGTTTCGACCTCCCGCCAAAAGAAAAAATATGGTTCAAAAGTCATAAATGACTTGCTACGAAGGTATAGACAAAGAGAACATTGATTTATACAGGGTAATTTTTTTTTATCATGAACTAGTAATTATTTCGCAATTTATAATATTATAAAGTCACTTATTTTTAGAAAAATTTTACCCCCCCCCAATAAAAAAAAAATTGAAAATACGCCACTGCCTAATATACTTATACAGTTAAAGTTTAATTATTTTATATAAAATATACTGATCAATCAAAATACACCGAAAACAACAAATGGTAGATTCTGTTCCTTTTTACACATAGCCACTGACAGAAAAAGTTGTTTTTTGATATCTAAAGTATTTTTCATAATAATTGAGAAAAACCAAAAAAGACGAAATATACGTTTTTTTTTCAATTTACGGTACACTTAGGCGTGTACTGGGTTCTATTTTTGTACCGGGAAATTATTAAATAGGATTCACTTGTACATATAAATCATAAACATTCTTCTAGTACAAGCCTGTCCAGCCTACCTACTTACCCAAGAAATTACCAAGTTACAATAGGTAATATAAGGAAAATGTGTATAAATCAAAAGCCTATAATTGAAAGATCCACTTGGAAATTACTGGTAATCCGACGGACTAGTACGTGCCTAGGCACAACTATTTTATTATTTTAAATTTTAAATTTTGAGTGGAGCGAAGAAGCTTATAGTTTTACAAAGATGTTTTTTTTTATCTGTTAACAACTTTCTACCAGAAGACTTGTTCGGATTTCTAAGTTGAGCATATTTTCTGAAAGAAAATCGGTGTGGTGTTAGGGAAGTTATTTTTCGGTTTTATCATCAAAATTTGAAAAACTGACAGAAAAAAATGGGGAATTATAAGAAATGTAGGTATTAATTAAGATACATTACGACCTCCTCTTTTCTCTAATCAACTTTTCTACCAGAAATTTTACTCTAGCTTATAATGATAGCAATTTTTCTAAAAGGAAATTTTTACTAGAAAAGTACTTTAGAGAAGTCATTTTTTTATTTTCCAAAGAATTTTCCCAGCAAATGAGAAAAACCGAGATAAACATGGGAAAACAGAGAAAAACGTAGGAAAATTGGGAAAATCGATACAACATTAAATAAATATTATTAAAGAAAATTGTTTAATTATTTTACTATAAATGACATATATTGTTAACAAAGCATTAATATCAACTGAACTTTGCTTAGAATCGATTTTTCGTAAGCAATGGTTTATCGTTGCTTATAAGTATACATAAAATTATCTATAACAGTGGCTGTACCCGTCCTCATTATCCTAGGACGTCTTTTTACTGTTTATGTTTTCTACCATAATTATTGCTCAAATAGATAAACGACACATGACCTTTTTTTGTTGCATTTTTTAATCTAGTATATGAGTAAGTTATTCGTTTTTCGATTGTCATTGTATTTTTATTATTAATTGAGCATAACAGAAAAAACCGTAGAAATAACGGGCAATTCTATGAAAATAATGCTTTTATTATTTTAAATTATGCTTTTTGTTGTAATTCAGGTTAAAATATTCGTTAAGACTCGAAAAATACTTACATTTTCTAGACGTAATAAAATGTTTATAACATTCAATCCATTTTTGAGCTAATTTTAGACATTTTAATTTTACGAGTTTTTTACGTAATTTTTGTTTGGTAGGTATTCTAAAGATAAATTGTTAGACTTAACAGAAATGCTTGAAAACTTGACAGGAGCTTGATTAAAAGTCGTAATCTGTGTTTAAAAAGAAATTTGAGCTTATTGTAGTATTTTTTTTTTTTTTTTTTATAAGAGTTTTAAAATTAAATTTTAACGAAAATCATAAATATTATGGCTTTTCAAAACATGTATAATCGAACTTCGTTTCGAATTATTTTTCGTTATCAATAGTTTATTGTTGGTTACAGGTATGTAAATTAAATCATATATCCCATCTTCCCCATTACCCATTTACAACAGTGTCCACACCAATTCAGCTCTTTTTTTTTATAATAAATTGTCATTTGTTATATCATATCTCATTTATATGGTTTCTTTTATATATTATTATATAACTATTGGTAAGTATAATATTGATTTCACTATTATATAATCAATCCCCTCTTTAGAGCGCAGGTATAATTTCAACTTATAATATTAAAAAGTATATATCATTAAAAGTATTTTGAAAAATTACTCATTTCGTTTTTAGTTATAACACGACGTCAAGATTGAAGACTTCAAGATGACATTTCAGTCGAGGATTAAAATTGCTATTATTGGCGCCGGACCGGTAGATCATAAATCAATATTATTATATTATATTCACACATTGTAAATCAATACGGGTTTTTAATTAGGTTGGATCTTTGTGCGCCTGTTTTATGGCAGAATATGGTTATGACGTTACAGTTTACGAAAGTCGAACAGGTATAAATTATTTTGTATCTATATAATAATGTTAAAAAGATAATTTAATACAATTTGAACAAATAAACGTCCTCTCCCTGTAAGAACATATATATTTTTAAAATATAGATATATATACATATATTTTAATTGAAACGTTCTAAAATTAATGTTTCGATTAAAAAAATAAAAATTTTCTAATTCATCTAAAATATTTTAAAAAAAATATGTTTCTCACAATAATAAACAATATTTTACAAACAAATTTCAAATAATAGGTACTTATTATTTTTAAACTAAAACATTTAAAAATATTTTCGTACAATATTATTTAAACCATATTACTAAAACGTTTTATTAACAATATTAATGGTCCCGTTCGGTATTGTCCGAAATTGTCTTGTAATACATTCATAATATATCCTATCTCAAAAATATTTTGGTTTTTAAAGAGAGGTACCTTATCCCTGCACAAAACTTTAACCAATAACCATCAAATGTAGAGGGACATGACATACCCTCTCATTATCTGTATCCGTACCTATGGCGTATACATTTCCATATTGTACATACTCCATCAATGTGATCAGTTGCAACCAAAAAAATTATTTCTTTTTTTTTCTTTTTTAGGGGAGGTTCTAAATTTGTGTAGCAACTAATTTTATGACCTTTCCTGGTTGTAATATATTCTACTGTTTTTGTATTTTTTAAAAATGGGGGGGAGGAAAACCTCAGTTCAGTCCACGCATATGGCCTTGGCCGTCTAAATATATATATTTTTTTTTGTAATATATTAATATACTATTTTAAAAAATTCTTATTCAAAGGTTTAATATCGTATTTCAAACACTAATGAAACATTTTTGTAATTAAAAAGTGACCATTAACATAATTTCAAAATGTTTTTAAAATGTTATTTTAAGTGATCACTGTACAGGAATATAAAAATATTAATATACTCCTATATTTTGATAATATTATACACGATTTACCTACCTGAAAAGTCTGGAAACCTTTGTTTCGTTTAGTGGACATCATGACATGATATGTCAACGTGTAACAATGAAATTAAGGATAGCAATCATAGGTTCACTGGACAGTTACCAAAAATGAATCATTGTATTAAACAGTGTTTACTGACTACTGAAAATCTATAGGATGGGTAGGTACCCTATAGATAATAGATAATGCCTATATTATGCTTTATCATTAATTTTAAATACACTGATAAAAAAAATAGCATATTATGCTCATTTAGTTATTTATATAATTTTGTCACTAAAAATTATTATACTAAAAATAATTTAATTTATGTAATACATGTATATATAAATATTACACCAAATTAATTTGGATACACACAATACCCTTAATATGTATAGGCACTAGCTGTATTACAAGCACTACATTATACACATATTTCTAGGGTTCGGTAATTTTGTTAGTTAAAAAAAATAAAACGATCACTATAATCTCACAATGCCAATTGGACTTAAGCCATTGTGAATAACTTTCTTGACTTTAGTTTTCATCATATAAATATTAAAAATTTTAAATTTTAACAAAATGAAACTACGATATAAGATTAAAATATTGTTAATTTTGGAACATTTAATATTTTTGTTTTAAATATTATAGTAAAAATATATGAATAACAAATGTGAAATTAATTAGATATTATATTATTATCAAGAAAGGTTTGTCTTAATATTACAAACCATATAGGTACTTACTAAAAAGTAAAGTAAAGTACCTGTCAATAATTTAACAATAATATGTCATCAGTCATGTATAAATATATATAATATACACAATGTATTCAAAAATTGCCTGGACTGATTTTTAAAAATAAATACAACAAACGAGTAAAAGCAAACAATTTTATTTAATTTTCAATATAGTCCCCTGCAATTTCTAAACATATATTTGTTTGACGCTCGTAAAGTTGCTGGAAGGCTCTGGGGAAATGGTTTTCGGGAATGCCTCGCATAGTCTTGTCACATTTTGTTGGATAAACTTCACATCGTCATATCTCTTTCATTTCATAGCAGTTTTCAGCTTAGGAAATAGAAAATATTCGGCTGGGGCCAGAGCTGATAAGTACGATGGGTGATTATTAACAGTGATAGATTTTTTAGCCAATAATTGTGTTACCAATATCGAAAAATGTACTGGACCATGGTCATTCAACAGTCATTTATTTGGTACAAATTCGGATGTACGTGCTGTACGTATGCGTTTCAAAAGACGGTCGAGGACACTTTGGTAAAATACTACATTAACTGTTTTTAAGGAGGAACAAATTCGCTTTGAATGATGCCGCTGGAGTCGAAAAAAGAAATAAACATTGTCTTCACTTTTGATTTTGTTGCGCAAGCTTTAACTGATCACCTTTCGTCCGGGCCTTGCCATTCCGTGGTTTGACGTTTTATGAAAGGGTCGTATTGGAAACATGATTTAGTATTCAATTATTTGGAATGTTTGGATAGCAGTTTTATTTAGTTTAAAACAAAATTGAATTGCTATTCTTTGTCCCATTGCAAAAATTGTGACACAATATTATAAACTTGTGCATTTTAAACCAGTGCAGGTGATTATTACCACCTATTATCGCTATTAGACTTTTACAGTGTTCATCGGTGCGTATTTTACAATGTAGTGTCATCAGTGAATTATAGATTATCTATATATAGATATCGAAAAACTACCAGTCCCTGAACTTTTTGAATACATACTGTATATATATATATACAGGTTGATCAATACAACGTAAGAAATTCATTATCTTGGAATGAATTATTACTCTTTTCGGAATTTAATTTTTAGAACATTTTAAGGAATAATTAGCTCTGAAATGTTACAATACTCTTATTTTTGTCATTCTTATTTTAGGGGATGAAACCATTACCTTCTTTTGGTATTATAATGACAACCTATTTACAAATTCCATAAATAGGTGGTGTATTAGTTTAAATCAATTTTGGTGATGACATTTTTGGTTTTTGTCAACCCGTTGACGAGATATTTCACTTTTAAGTTTCGGCGGAAGGAGAGTAGAAGTGCATCATTTGTGTGAAAGCACGGCATGCGGTATTTTGATAGTGTTCCACCACTCTCTCCCTCATCCCCCTGTTAGTGATTTAATAATAAGGTTATACGGTTGTAGGTATTTTAAAAATTGTAATAGTTTTAGAAACAATTAATATGATAAATGGTTTTTAAAACAATATTTATATACAACAATTATTGAAAATCGTTCTATTACAGATATTAGACACACGGAAACCACTATTGGACGTTCAATAAACATGGCTTTATCGGAAAGGGGTATTAATGCTTTGCAATTTATAAATCTGGACAATATTGTAATCGACGAACTCGCCGAACCGATGTATGGTAGAATGATTCATTCGATCGATGGCCGTAAATACAACATTTTGTATGATATTTTAGAAAACAAGGTGCAAATTTGTTTAATTATCATATACTGTTATTATTACAGCCTTACCGGTACAGTAAAAAACTCGTTACTCAATAACTACCTAATCACTCTAGTAAATTAGGTGTTTTTATCTGATAAGACAATTGAAAAAGTTATTTTAAATTATATTATTCGATGATTTGAGATTCGGAGAGTAGCAAGGGATCTATTGGCCGTACTATGATGTGTGATTTTTTTTTGTGTTGGTCTGTGAGTAACTTTTATATCAAAAAATTTGATTCAAAGTATCAAGGTAGCACGTTTTCTGAAAGGTAATTTTATCTAGTTGGTGCAATATTTGGTCATTTTTTGATTTTTTAAGGATTTTCAAAATAATCGATACATATTAAATTATTATATCATATCTTCTGTTTTAGTATCAACTCGTATTTAGGTACAGTACTTTTATAAAATACAGTATAATCAAATAATTGTCAACGTAATATAAATAATATATAGTTGTAAATTTATGTCCATCATACTTAAACATTTTTAGAAATTTAAAAAAGAAAATATAAGTATAATATTATTTCCGTAAAAGAAAATAATAATTATTTTTATAACTATCATTGAAATGTTTAAATGGCTAGTGTTAAATTCAAATACTGCAAATTTGCTTGTGAAAACAGACAGAGAAAATCATTTTTTGATACTTAAAGATTTACATAAAGATACTCTATCAGTATCGTTTTAGCTCAATAACATACCTGTTGAGGGGAAAACAAAGAATAATTTGAAAATTTGGGGTTTTCACAGAAAGTAATCATGCACTAAATTCTCCCTATATAATTAATCAAACAATTAGAATTAAGGTATACATAATTAAAAACAAGTAGTTATGATAGACTAAATGTATTTGTATAATTATAATTATTAATTATTATTATTAGTAGATATAATCTATTTTTTTTTTTTTCAGTGCTTATACTCAGTAAATAGAAATGATCTTAATGCAGTTTTATTAACAAGTAATTTAGTATATATTTTTGTAAATTCATAGTTTAATATGATAAGTATAACACTGCAAAACTTATGTTCTAGAACTCGAAAAATATCAAAACGTTAAACTGAATTTTTCTCACAAACTTGTTGATATTGATTTTAAAACTACACAATTAACATTTGAAACGTTAGTATATTTTACTGTAGAATCTAAGGGAATTCATTTTAATAAATCCATTATATTCTATTTATTTAGATTAGAAAATCCACAAAAAATCGTAAAACCAGATATTGTTATCGGGTGCGACGGAGCTTATTCCACTGTTCGTAAAAATATGATTCGTCTGCCTATGTTTAATTATTCGCAAATGTATATAGACCATGGTTATTTAGAAATAAACTTACCATCAAATTTGAATAAAGTGAGGAAAAAATTACATACGTATTTTCTAAACAATTCAATATGATATTATTCAAGACTTGAATAATACTTAGTAACACCATTTAACTTTTAGGATATTTTATCCGCTCATTATCTTCATATTTGGCCAAGGGGTACATTTATGCTGATAGCATTGCCGAATAAGGATAAATCTTGGACTTGCACTTTATTCATGCCAATGGACAAATTCCCATTATTATTGGAGTCTGAAACAGAAAATATTTTAAGTTTTTTTTACAAACATTTTAAGGACTTTACGAACTTAATTCATCCAAAATATTTAATAGACCAAGTGAAAAATGGAAAAGCTCGAACTCTGATTTCTATTAAAGTGAATTTTTTATATAGAATTTTAAATACATTTATATTTATATATTTAATTATCATGTCTATGTATATATATATATATATATATATATATATTGTTTTATTATTAATAGTGTAACCCATATCATGTTAATGATAATTTTCTTTTGATCGGAGACGCCGCTCACGCTATTGTACCTTTTTATGGCCAAGGAATGAATGCTGTAAGTAAAAGAAAATTAAAAAAATATACTTTGGTGATATTATACTTATACAAGTATACTCTGAGGTGAAATGTTTATGTTTTGTTTTTATTTTTAACTTAAAATTATAACAAAACACTTTTATTAACCAAAAGAACAGGATCTCCAAACATAAATATGTCACTGGATTGATGTATATGTTATTTGTGTTTATATTTTAAAGGGTTTTGAAGATTGTACGTTATTGAACTTACTTCTCAATGAATATGAACACGATCTAAATACAGTAATCAAAATGTTTACGTCAAGGAGAATTCACGATACAGAAGCTATTAGTGATTTAGCTTTTTACAACTACACTGAAGTAATAATATTTAAATAGTTTAATTTTTTTTAACGTGTCGTTTTTAGTTTACATAAAATACAATACATTATAAAAAGGAGGAAATGTGGATATTAAAAAAAAAAAACTGATTTCAAAAATTTAACTCAGTGGCATTCTAACCTCCTCCCCCCCGGCCTCATGTTAAAGTATAGGTACCGTAGACAAACATATCATTTCCTCCCATTAATAAAATATATAAAAAAAACTTTATAAGTAATAAAAATAAATATTTTAATTTTATTTTAATTAACAGAACGTTGCACACACATCTACTGCCTCAATAGAATTACCGGACAACATGCGAAAATAATGCTTAAGCAGACTGAGGAAAACTAGCTTAATTTTGATTTCAAAGTAAAAGTACCTATTATAAAATTTATAGAGAACAATATTTTTGAGGGAATCTTATAGATCTTTTTTGAATTACGATTTATTAAAAAAAAAACTAAAATTATATCCGGTTTTATATTTAGAGTTATATAACATTTAGAATAATGCAACAACCCAATGAGATTCTTTACAAAATATTCTACTATATAAATTATATATCGATGTACACTCATAATAGGTACTTTTTTTATTCTAAAATCAAAATTAAGCTAGTTTTACTAAGTCTGCGTAAGTATTGTTTTTGCATGTTGCTCGGTAGTTAGGCTGAGACTGTAGATGCCGGCGTGAAATCATCTTAATATTATTTATTAATCCCTCACGAATACAAATATTTAATACTTATTCAAATTTCAAATAAATAATATTTCTTTATTTTATAAAATAATTTATATGATTTCAAAAAAAATAGTCGAAATTGATTATAATTCTGTGACATCACTATTCACTACACAAATTTCAAGTAATTTGATACGTAATAATCTATGGCAACACTATATATCTATACAGATGTAAATTAAATTTTGTTTTACTTTTAAATTACGTCTATGCCATAGGATGTGCTTAAATTAGGAGTTTAAATGAACATCAATGCAATCCTGGTTTACATTTTTATAAAGAAAGTAAGTTAATCATTACTGTTAAACTACAGTTGTTTAAATGATAGGCATATTAAATGGTATTTATATGGTAGAATAATATAGCAGCTGGTAGGTATGTACATTATATAATCTATGTATTATATAAGACGTATTTTAAATAAAAAATTAAGTATTTTGGTTCAATACATGTCCAATACAATTTCGAGCACTGGTAGAAAAGTTAAAATATAATACATAAATAGGGGAGGTGGGTCCTTCCCCTACATGCACATAATGGAGCGAAAAACTGGTCTCATGGAACATAAATAGTGTAACTATGGATCATCACCTATGACTAATGATATCACCTATATTTTTCTCCTCTTTCCCCATATGAAAAATAGTTCCTGTGCTTCTCGATTTGACCCGGAATCCAGCCCTGAACTCTGATAGTACAAAATGAGTGTAAATATTTTGAATTATAATAGGAACTTATATAATAAACGTTTAATGATGTAATTATCAGTTATTCCGATTATATTTTTAGAATTTCAAGGCAATAGGTTTTAAACTGTCATATTGCAATAAAATCCAAAAATACACCAAGTGACCTTATAACTATATCTATATTAAATCATTTTAAATAGTTTATTTTATACCTACATCATCAGGGACGTATACGCAGAAAAAAGTTTTGGGGAGTGTTTTTTTTATTAAAAATTAGAATTTTTTTTTAATAAACATATGAAACATTAGGTTAGGTTAGGTTAAATTAAATACTTCGGGAGGTGTTTAAAAACCTATAACACCCCCTGTGTATGTGCCTGTACATAATTTTATAATAGTTTTAAAAATTAAACAAATCGATAAATTACTAATACACGTAATGTTCGTTCCAATCCCTGTTTTTTTAAGAATTCAAATAATATACATTTTATGCAGGTATCTATTTAATTTTTTTTAAATTATAAAATAATATTTTCTACAAATTACGTATTGTTTAGGTCTCCATGCAAATATGTGTATCAAATTACATCTCAATTTTTATTAGTTTTTGGTTTTTCAAAAGCATTTATCTAAATATTTTGAATTATTTTTCAAAATTTCTAATTTAACAAAACTATCATAATGATTATTATTATTTATAATTATATTACTTATAATCTTAATACTAATTAATTTATAAAACAATTTATCTTAACTACCTACAGTGTATTTAAAGTATATTTTCAAAACGGATACATACATATTAGGTATTACTGATCAAATATACTAGTATGGATTATATTTATTTATTTATTATTAATAGATGCGAGATTTAGTTGCTCGTAAAAGTTTTTTGTGGCGAAAAAAAATTGACAACATACTACAAAAATGGTTTCCTCAAACATGGATACCACTTCATAGTTCGGTTTCTTTCACTACAATTGGGTATAAACAATGTCAACTCAATAATCAGTGCCAAAATAAAGTAAGCATTTAATATGTAGTTTATTTATTATTCTTGAAAAAGTTCTTTAAGGAGTTATTGCAGTCTTAAACTGGATAGTCGATAGGTATCTATTATGTATACTATATTGTATTATTGGGTATTTGTATTATATTGAATAAACGAAAATGGAAAAATGTTTGTCATGCATAAAAAGAATCTAAGAATTTTATACAATTTTTATAGTTAATTAAAACTATATTTACTTAAGTGGTTGGATAAATTCATAGTAAGGGATTGGATTCGATAGTCCCCAAAGTTTAGACTTTTTCCCTTATAGTATAATAGTTATCCAAATATTTTTGTGTACCTACTCGTATTTTATGTACTATAATTTGACTGCATTTTCTGGATTGTAAATTGTAAAAATCCATAGAAATACTTACATTTTAGACTTGGAAGTAGCGAGGGATTTATAGGTTTTACTTTGATAAGTGTTTTTTTTTCGTATTTTTTCTTTTTTGGCCTTTGAACAACTTTTCTACCAGTAATTTTACTCTAATGTATCAAATGTAGAACTTTTTTTTAAAATGATATTGAACGTAGTTGGTGCAATGAGGAGTCATGTTTTGATTTTCCAAGGGATTTTTAAAATAATTAGAAAAAACCGGAAACAAAATTATAAGTAAAATGGCAATAATATTTACAATACGCTTCGGCATTACTGATTTCATGGTTTTTATTTTTTTTGAAATTATGTTTTTACTAGAATTATTGCTCTAATAGAAAAACTATAAGACCATTTTGATTAAATTTTTTATGAAGCTTGTAATTAAAAAAGTATTTTTTCTATTTTCCTTGTAGTTTTATTTAATTATTATTACTTTCATTTAATTATGTTATTATTTAAAAATTTTTTTTTTCTGTAATTCAGTTAAAAATATTCATAAAGAAAAAAAAAGGCCATAATATTTATTTACTAATACCTACATTTCGAACATTTTCTGTTTTTTTGGACATTTTATGGCAGTTTTTCACAGTTATAATGAAAACCGATTGAAAAATCACAAAAAACCTCCCTAAACCAAGGAGATAAAATTTTCTTTCAGAAAATAAGCTACACTTGATACCTTGATACATGGGAGCAAGAATTGTAGTAAAAAAGTGTGCACAACAAATCGAGTGGTATTTTTTTATTATAATCGTCCGAGTGAGCGATAAAGTCTCTAAGTCTCTAAGTACACTTTAAATGCATTTGTTTTTTCTCTATTTAGATAAAAGGGGGGGGGGAAAGTACAAACAATTTCTTTTCAAACCTCTTGTATGACATCATGATCATTCGACGAAAAAAAGAACCAGACTGATCAGGACCGAACATGTTTTATTTTGTCTTGTGTGTTGAAGTTGACTGATTAGTGTGCACGTGTCAATTACTAAATGCGTGTTCTAATTATGACCAAACAACTACGAGCTGATCCGGGTAGCTCAGAGAAGTTTTGCTTTTTTGGTGTGCGCCCGGCCTTAGACATCATTTATGTCCTACTTCGTTATCTCAAATTAACGATGCATTTTGTAATACGTATATTTTAAATAATTCGGTATTAAAAAAAAAAATAATAATAAACATCTTAGTAAAACCAAAACATTCTCAGCTACACTCAGAACCTAAGATATGTCTAATAATAATAATTATATAATAACTACTGTATAATCAGTGTATATAACTATAATAATATAATATATAATACATATAAATAATATCTATTGTATGAACAAACGTAAACCTACTAAACTTTTACTTGGCGAATGGTAAAAATAGGGAGGCTTAATTTTCCCAAAAACCAAATACACTAATCACATATTATCACTAAGATATCACATTTCATGTAACATTTATTATCCTCATCTTCTAAGCTTTATACCTTTTAACGTTTCTTCCTATACTAACCGTTCTGCCCCACTTATCTATATTCCGTCTTACAACACAAATTATCATACTAATTCCTCCTTTTAAAAGCATTATCGCTTTGCAACAAGTGCCCCATTAACGATTTCTTTTTTTCACCTCCAACTAAGATTTTTCACTCATATTTCACTTTAAATCAGCATGATTTTTAAGTTGTTTATTTTTAAACTGTATGGTACTATTAGTCCATTGTTGTTTTGTTTTGTTTAATCTTCTTTAAATAAAATTGTTTTGCTATATGTTAGTCCCAGTGTAATTTAAACCACTATGTGCCACTGGGTCCAGGCCCGTTTTATTAATTTATTAAATTATTTGAATAAACGTTGTTATTATTATTATTACTATTATACACATTATCACTGTACATACATAATATCAATCGCTATTATGGGTAGTTCAAACTACTCTCCTCAACTTATTCGTCTTATTTGCATTGATAAATAAATATTAATAGCTTATAACTAATTTGCTGTAGGAATACGCTATTTTGTGCACTTAAAATAATACCAGATAGTCGTCAGTACAAATTTAAAAAAATATACATAATACAATTTTTTGTAAAACGCAAAAATGACTTATTATAAAGATTGTTAAATATTAAACACTAATTAATGAGCATCACGTCACCATATTATGTCCATACAATATCACGTAGTTTTAATTTTAACACATTATATATTTGATTTTAATAAAAATTCAAATACATATTTAATAAGAATATTGACTAATTAGTAATTCTGAAACTTAATAAATAGTAAAATTACCTACTATAAAAAAATCAACCAATATTACAATTTACCCAACTCAAATACGCAATCGTGATGCTCAATAAAATATATGTGTACCAAAAAATATTACCACCCGGTTGTTTAACGTGTTGGTTAAATATACCTATTTAGATAGGTTATAAATATTATATTATATTTTAAAGTTCAATCTTTAATGAAAAAAAAACTATCAATAATTGACATCTTTTAATTATTATTATTGTTATTTTACAGATTCTATTTCTAGTATTAATACTTTTTGCAACCATGTTTGGCATCGCAATGTACTTTATTGTGATGTCTACGTCAACAACAATAAGTGCGTAAGTCATATAACTAATAATGTAGTCTAGGCTATTTTGGCTAATTTTCAATGTAAATTTGTCAAATAATTATAATTTTTGGTACAAGCTTTATTATAGTATTAATATATACCTAGTATACAGTCAAATATTGATTATAGATAAATATAGTGCATAGGTATATATTAAAGTACGGATATTAATCAAACCTGAGTTTTATTATTTATAACTATAATTGAATTACAATGAAAATTACGATCGACTTGTCATAATCAATTAAAGCTTAAAACACATGTATAATAAATAACACGTGATAGCTAACATAGGAATCAGTGGCGGATCCGGGAGGGGGTTAGCGATTTTGGGGAGAAGTAACACTAACGTCGTTTCTCCTATAGTTCACGACTCTTCAAAAAAAGGGGGGTGGTGATAAAGGTGATCAAACCTCACCCCCGTTTACTTTTCAATATACTCTTAGCTTTATTCATCATTGAACTCATAATAAATGTGTGTTTTATAATATGCATTTTTAAAATCACCTTTCCCCATCATTATCTTATCCTGTATTCGCCCCTGATAATATTAAAGATAACTAATTTCTATAAACTACGTTTAAATGTAAAAACTGTTGCCTACATAATTTTTTTAAGGTTCTAGAGAAAATATTATCAATTAGTTATTACTACTTATAATAATACGAAACAATCCTTTTCGCCGAAACCATTTCGCCGATGGACTGATTCGCTACAACCAATTCTCTGCCAATTTTTTCGCCGCTAGCCTTTTCGCCGACAGATTTTTCTTTGACGGACTTATTTTCTTAAAAGAAATAAACACAATTTTAAAAAAAAGAGATGATGCAGCTATCATTGTAAGTGGGAAGTTGTGAATTTGAGAAGGTATGACACATAAAGTTATTTAATTTATGTGTACGCAACGATAAACCATTGCTAACGAAAAACGATTCGGAGTGAAATTCGGCAAGGTCAAATGTCGTCTTTGATCTTAAAACGCCTATCAAAAAAAACACTAAAGCATTCAACTCGAATTTCCTTTTTTGACCACTAAGTACAACTTGAAATTACTCTTGTGCTAAATTTTCAATCATTTTTGTTAAGCCAAACCGTTTAAAAGAAAAGAAAAGAAAAGTTAAAAAAATACCGTCATTTTTACGATTTCTGTCAAACCAAAGTTTGATGTTTAAATGCTTATAAAAATAAAAGTAATATATAACACACAATTTATTTATGTTTTACCATCAACTAAAACTTATAATAAGTTGTAACACGATATAAGCTAACTTATATTTGTATACAATTTTCAAATATTTTAGATTAGTCAAAAAATTATATTCACATAAAACCGACAAATAATATGAAGAATGCCGATAAATACGATTTTTCTAATAGGTGCTATTTTATCTTTAAGCAGTTATAAGAAAACACTAATACATTACAACATAAATTTGCTTTTTTGACTACACGGGTGGCTGCACCCGTCCCCAGTATCATCTCTTTTTTTTAAAAAATGTGTTAATTTCTTTTAAGAAAATAAATCCGTCGGCAAAAAGGCTAGCAGCGAAACATTTCACGGCGAATTGGTTGTAGCAAATCGGTCCATTCGCGAAATGTCCTAGACCCATATCTATATTGATAGTTTTTATTATTATTTTTTTATATTTATAATAAATGTATACAAAATAACACTGTTTACTTTTTCTTGATTTTAAACCTTCAAACAATCTAACAAATTATTATGGTATAGATATAACGCACACCTTTTTTTAATGGAAAAGTGGTAAGTATTAAAATCATTGAAATTACTAATAACAGATAAGTACCTAAAGCTCCAATCATCAAGATCAGTGATGTTTGACGGTAGGTATCAAATATTGTTTAGTTGGTGCATTAGGTAATTTTTTGATATTCCTTTAAGTTTTCGAGCGCTTAAAATTTCAAATAATCAATTTAATTTTTCTATGAAAAATGTGCAATTTGTTAGTATTGTTATCATAATAATTTAAGAATTTAAGCTGTGAGCATAGATAATAGAAGTATGAATAGGATATCCATATAATGATTTCACTAGGAGTCTTGTGATTTTTTGGCGATTTTCTACGAGAGATAGCATATTTGAGGTTTTTTTTGAAGTTTATGGTAAAAAAATGTGTATCTATATCATTTAGTTTTAAGTTATTACTATTTGTTTTATCAATTATGTACATTATATATCGAGATAAAGAATATACTGGAGCGCGCGCTCGAATACCCGCACACATAAATAATACGAGTCGTCGGGTGACATCGATTCAAACTCTATTCTCACCACCGTACGGCAAGAAACATATTACGTATGCCGTACCCAGGAAATATACAAAGAATTCACTAATTTCTTGCTATAAATGCGATTTTAATGTACCTACTAAATGGACATTTAAATAATTAAATAATAATATATGTTTACAATATTTATTTATTAAGATCAATTAAAAAACAACAAAGTATATGACAGAAATATGTACACACATTTTTATTTTGTGTTATTGTTTATTTTATAATATTATAGATTATAAGAACATTGTTATATATAATATAAACCATATTGAAAAATTAAAAAATACAACATATCCCTTATTAAATACAAATAGTTAGAATAACTCGAGAATAACGAATTATACTTATAGATTTTTAAACAAATTAACTTTTGTAAGTTTATGCCTGAGAAAAGAATGATTTTTGAAAACTTCACGCATATTAAATTGTTTTTCATAATGTTTTATTCTAATGTTAATAATTTTTTGATAAATTAATGTAAATAATGAATATTCATGAGTGTGTGCACCAAATTCATCATCAATAGGATGCGAGTTCGCAAAAATAAAAATAAAATTTATTTTTATTTAATATACATCTTCTAGTACTTTCGGTATTTAACAATTTTACATTTCTATGAAGATTTTTTTCTCTTATAACCACAGTTTGAAAAGATTTTTCAAGTTGTTGTATAATTAATGAAACAGTCTTAGAAGTTACTATTAATTTACCTCGATTTACGGAAGTTGTAAATGATGAATTTTTACTGTATTCATGGTTAGATGATTTTCTATAAGCTGAACACAAATAATACTTCTTACAATATAACCATCAATATAATCTAACCGATGACCGATACCTAACTGACCATATCAAATCGATGAAATTTTATAGAACTGCCTTTTGTCTGTCTATTGGTGCATCCAAAAGCTGAACACGAAATTACCATTATCAATTTAAATAATAAGAAAAATCATACAAAAAATAATAATTATCTTCAACAAAAATAGCCCGTCACAAGTAAGAATAAATATATACTTTAATAGTTCAGTTTAATTTTAGTACAATTTTAAAAACCTTTAATTTAAACCACAGAAAAGTCAATAAAACGTAACTATAGATGTACAAAATAAAAGTTTTTGCCGTACGGTAGTGGGGATGATTATTATCACGGAAGCTCGTTTTTTGTTTACGAATGCACGCTCTAGTGTGTTCTTTATTTCGATGATATTATATTATATATTTGTAATGTTTGTAGTTTGTATATTTTGATATTTTTATTGCTTTAAATAATTAAAACATACAATATTAAGACAATTAAAACAGCTATCAATATTTGTATTCATTATTGTTATATTCTAATACAGTCGGACTTAGTTAACTAGAAAAATGGAGGGACCAGCGAAGAATTCGAGCTATCGATTTTTCGTTTTATTTTTATTTTATTCATTTAAATACTAATATCACAAACAATTATCTTAAAATCGTAATCATTGAAACGTAACGGAGGACTAAATGTATAAGCAAACTAGTTTTATCAGTTGTTGTAACTATCTCAATTTCCAGTTTAACTAAATATTCAGTAACTTGAAGATTACACTGTCGATAGTGAATGTGCATACACATTGAAATAACCCATATATCACTAATCCTAATGAAATTGGAATTTCGAGTTACACATGAAATATTCTAATTAAACGCGATTTGTTTATATTATTTAAATAGGAAATTCCAGGAACTGTGGAAAAAGATCAAGGTATCAATGATTTCGAGTTAAATAAGTTCGATTGTACCTAAATAATAATAGTTCATCGTATTAACTACAAACAACAATATTATGAAGACTGACCTCTTATAACCTTAAACAGTGATCACTAAATTTATAAGTGATAAGGTTTTATCTCCTATCTATACTTCTATTACTATGGCTGTGAACCTGATGAAAGCTTATGATTTATCAATTATCGTTAGTCTATAGACCTATGTGTTAGTCAAACACTATTAAAACACAGAATAGGTAAACAATTGTATAATATTTATCCCAACAGTCAAACATAATTTATCGTTAGTAAAATTAGCAAGAAATTAATTTTAATTTTAACAAACTTTAAAATTCTTTATAAATGAATGGCGTAACCTAATTGATAGTTTTAAACACCAATAATTTTTTTCAAAAATTAATTCATAAAATAGCTATCCTAGATTATAGAAAAGTCACGACTTACCCATGGCCTATGGGTATAGTTTTTATTATGGTATTATTCGTCTTAAATTATTTTTCAAATACTTAAATTACTGAGATAGCTACTAAAATAACAAAACACACGAATTTGATACTTTGCACTTTTATTTGGTAATAGATACACAATGCACATATATGTACACTGCATTGTGCAGTATGTTTCTGTACACAAAAATAGATCCCGCAATATTTTCATAATTATAGCAGTTAAATGTACAGCAAATTAGAATATAAAAACTATTAATATTTTTGAGAAAATAAACTATTACAATAAATATCACAAACTAAAAATACCTCTGTCTCCATAAAACTGTTATTTCGTTTATTCTTATATAGTAATCAAATTAAGTATTACATTTATTAGGATTTAAGAACCCGATATATATTATAATCAATCAATAAAATATTAATATTCAATAAATACTTCTTCAAGTCAATTTATTTTAACAGTATTATAGGTATATATGTATAATGTTTATTTACTTAAATTGTTAATTTAAATAATTTTTTCTTAGAGATATTACAAAAAATGAAATTTTTGACTTTTTTGTTATGAATTATGATTCAATAAACACTCAATACATTTAATAAGTATATAATATAATATATTGTATCACAAGAGGCAAAAGACGCATTAAGTTAATATGTAAACAATTTTTTTTATTATCTAACTAACAATAAATTATATATATATATATACCTATCATAAAAACAAGATTAAACTCGGTTATAATGGTTTATGAACTTACGCGAATTTACCAATACATCGATTTAAAAACTGTAAAATAAATGTATATAAATTTAAAATATATTAATAAATTAACAGAATACGCATTAATATATTTGACAAGGATATAACAATGTCTGCAACAATAATTGATAAACATACAAAATTAAATCTAGGAAAATTTTACTGACTAAGTATTGCTGCATTTTCTTTATTCCAGTATTAATTCCATTTCATCGGGATGTTTTGAATATTTAGTTTTATGTTCTTCAAAAAGACTAGTCAACTCTTCAACGAATATTTTATGGTACTTAGCAATATCTTCTTCTTTTGGGTTAGCGATTTTAGGCATGTCAATTGGCTTACCCACTGTAAATAAAATTGTTTATAAATGAATTATATTCGTAACACCAATGTAATAATAATATTATTGTGAGATTAAAGGTTTGTTGTTATACATTGTGTAAAATGTATAAGGTGAAACTAAGAGGAAAAGAAATTAATCAATTTCTTACAAGGAAACGAAAAATACTAATATGATATAAAGTTTTTTTTTCCAACTAGGTAGTAATTAGTGTTTAAATATTAAAAAATAAATAATTCTCAGTTATAATTTTTCAGTTCAGTCTTGTGTCGACAATTAGACATCACTTATGTACTGCTTCGTTATCTCAAATTAATGATGCATTTTGTATTACGTATATTTTAAATCATTTGGTATTACAGTGTTATAGCAAACTGATGCTGCAAACAATAGTCACGGTATTCTATTGGCCCGAATTCGCTTTATTGAGAAAACAACTTACAAACATCCTCTCTATTTATTTATAAGACGCTACTTTGGAAACGAAAAGTCAGGTAGAGTCCTTCAGAATTCAATTATTAAATCTAAGGTCTTATCTTTGTATATGATTGTATTATTTTTTATTGTTATTATCAACCTGTAATTTTTAGTGAACAAAAGTTGTTCAAAAAAATGTTGATAGTTACATAAAACTCTGCTTTTTTTAAAAATAAATAATATGAAAAACCTTGAAATATCAAATAACCTTTTTTTATACTAATCTAAAAGATTAGAATTGCATAAATCGAAACACTTAACGTTATTCAAACAAATATAAATAACATCAAGAAAGCCAAAATATATTGAAAACTATTTTCTTCTTCTGACCTTAAGTAATTAGTTTTTGCTGCAATCCCAACCTCCTTTCACTTTATCCTATTTACTTAAACCTCTATTCTGACAGTGCCGTTGCCAGAGGGAGACCACTGGGGTATGTGACCCCTCCCCCTTGAATTTTTTTTTTCGTAGTACTGTAGTACATTTTACATACATTTGTTAAATTAATAAAATATATTATTAGTAGTACTATTATAAGTATTAAAAAATATATCTTTGTATAATATTAATATTAGGTATAATAATATAATATAATCTTTTACAATGTTACAGACTTTGTTTTAACTTCACGTAATAAAACTAAGGAGGTATAAATAATAAGTGATAAGAGAATAAAAGAGTCATAAAATAACAGGTGATAAGTATTCTAGCTTTACAAAAACTAGATAAAAAATCAAGTGCACCACCCCCTAGACATTTTTTCTTGACTAAGTACAAGACATTTTTAGAAGCGATCAATTAAATACAAAATTTCATCACTCATTAGAAGTTCCCGAAAAAGTTATTCATTCGAGCAAGTCGAAACGTCCACATTTTATCAACTGACTCATGAACAAAGTGAATGATAAACTATATAATATACCACCGTCCATCGGGGCCATCACAAAATAAATGTTTATAGACAAAAAAAAAATGTATAATTATTTATTTATTTTATTGAACAAGATAATGGGCCGTATTGCGATAAAATAACATTGAACATAAAATATTTTATGCGACGATGTTACTTTCAATATGATATTTTGTAAATTTTTATTTTCCCGCATTATTACACATAATAATAAAACAATAAAATATATAAAACATATGGAAATAAAACAACAAATATCAGTTTTATCTGTGATACTGAAAAGTTGACGTTTTATCGTATTAAAGTTATTAAAATTATTAAAATAAGTCACTGCAGTTCCCAAATTATTATAAAAATAATACAGTATAAGTAGTGAGTGTTCGATCAATTAATCCTTCATTGGTGACACACATTAGTGTGTTAAAAAAAGTTTTTTAAATTATTACTATGAAATAGTGTTATTTTTTAATTCACACCATTTTGTACCATTATAATTAGTTAAACTTATATTCTTTGTATGATTTTATTTAAAAAGGCGAACGACAACATTGCAGAATTTTTTAATGTTCAGCAGAAAAGGTTTTCTTAATTTTGCTCAATTTTATCGGAAAAAAGATATTTTATGCTCAATCGTGTGGATAGCCTGCACTGAGTGAGCTCATGGTAAAAAAAACTGTCCATTAGGAAGAGTGCAATCATTACTGTAGGTGAGAAATCGGAAAGGTAGGACGGGACTATAGACGGAAATTAATGTAGGTATATCTGTAAGCAACGATTAACCATTGTTAACGAAAAAACTATTCAAATCGTAATTCGATTGGCAGTATTCCTTTGTCAACAGTAAACATGTCATATTATGGTAATACATAATTACATATGAATTATATATTTTCTTTAATAATATTTGTATAATACTGTACCTATATTTTACCGGTTTTCCCATGTTTTGTCCCATTTATTGGGAAAATCGAAAAATGACCTCCCTAAAGTACTTTCCCAGTCAGATTTAGTTATAGAAAAAGTACTATCGTTGTAAATCCGAGCAAAATTGCTAGTAGAAAAGTAGTCCACAGAAAAAAAAAAGTAAACATCATTGTAAAACCAATATATTCCTCACTCCACTCAAAATTTAAAATAAAATCATGGGAGACATCATTATATTAAATAAATTGCAAATAAAATATATTATAAATAACTTATATTAATGTTTTAATCTGAAATCTAACTAATCAATCTGTTTAATATAGTTTTCCTTATTTAATATATATTTGTATTATTTTAAAGTTAAACAATAAAATTAATATGACGCATTATATAAATTTTCAATCAAATTTAAATTATCATAAGTTGTAATCAAAATATCCAAAAATTGAAAAAATGTCAGATATATGTCAATTTTACGGTTATTACATTCTTTTTATTTTTTTTTTTTGTACATATATATTAATATTTTAAGAAGTATACATACGATTGTATAGTAAAAATAAAATTAAGAATAATTTTTATCAGTTTGTACCACACTATATTATAAGTTCAACCAGACTGTCTAACCTCTGGTTGAACTCAAGGTTCAAAACAACATCAAATATAGATTTATTATTATTATTTTTTAATGGGTAAGTATAGAAATACAATTTGAAGTATTGTAAAAACGATAAATTATTCAATTAAATATAAAAATCCCAATAGAATTCAGGTGTTAAAATTTAACCATTAGCTTTCTAAATTGCTTCTCGCGTCCAGTAATTTTATAGAACACGAATGTTATTTGATTGATATTTTAAATGTAGGCTTAATATTAAGCTTGAATATTCTGTAGTTCTAATTGTTATACAAAATTAATTATTTCTTAAAAGAAAAATTATATTTATGCATTTATAATAAATAAAAAACCTACTAAATATTAAGGTTATTTAGATTTTAAGTACGTTTGAAAAAAAATGTTCAAGTTTATTTATGAGCCATAAAATATCATCAAATTATATCCATTATTTACTATGGTGTAACCATAATTTTTTTAATGAAATAAATTTTAATAATTTTTTAATAATGGTTATATTTACAGTGTATAACTAATATTTTATTAAAATAACCTTGCTATTTCCATTATTTCTTAATAGGACAAACTAGGTATAAATATAGCCTAGGTTAATCAATTCAACCATGAAATGAGAAAAATTTAAATATGATTAAATAGCAAATATGACTTTATTCTCAAACAAAATAGTTTAAAAAAATAAGAGTAATATAAAATTTAAGAATATATTATGATTCTAAAGAATTTTCACATGGATAAATTTAAAAAAAATAGGTATTTCATGATGTAATTGACTGTAACATAAACTGTTTTGTTTTTTTTAAATATCTTCAACAATATTTGAATGTAAATTTACTTACCAACAGTAACAATTGGATGTCTACGGGGTACAATACCAAAACTGTACTGGAAAACTCCTCGTCCTACTGGTACTCTATTACCGCTTTTCCATTTTATTAATTTTAACACTTTTTCCCAAAAAGAATTCGGTTCCGCTTGGCCTAAACCATAAACATTAGTCTCGCCGAAAGAAAATACAGGTACTAATGATGCCCTGTAAATAACCCATGCAAATATAATGTATACAGACATTAAATAACCAAAAACAATTTTTACCTAGATTATAAATTTAAATTTACCCAGTTTTTAACGCTACGCGGACGAATCCTCTCCTGTTTTTCAAAACAACATGGTATGGACCCGGAAAAGATTTAAACGCCTCGGAAACACCACCTACCATAAGAACAGCCACATTTCCTTTTTTACCATCCAATATATTTACTAAACTTTTTTCCGACGACTCTCGAAGACCTGCGAAAATAAAATAAAATGATTAATTATATAATTTAAGCTCAATTATCCAAAATAGGTAGTTGATAACTCGACCATAAATAAATGTCTAAATGTATTATTAAGGTATTTGATTAACAAGCACAAATTTTTATACATATTTTAATAATTCTCTGGGTTATTTTTACATAGTATTATATTTAATTTAATAAAACATTTCAATAATATGGAATAATAACATATTATGTTATTATAGTAGTTAAAACCATATAAATTGCGTTATTAAAGTGGGTACCTAAACCTACAATTAAAATAAGATGCTAAATTCATTAAAAGTACATATAAGTATATTATTTGCATAACTATTGAATCAAAAGTCTTGACGCTCAAAAAGAAAAATGATATCTTTTACAAAAGCTGACTAATTATTTTTAATTGAATGCATTGCGATTGTGTTAATGTGTTGTAAATACTAAAGTACATAAATCGAATTTATTTATATACCTACATACAATTTACTAAAATATGATCACTAAAATATAATATATGGGATTGATATATTTCTAGGTAGTAGGTAATTTTATTATTCAGTTTTTATTAAGCTAGAATAATTATCACTTATTATTTTAGAACTTCCTTATTTATTTATCATTTATTATTTATACCCCCTTAGTTTTACAACTTAAAATTGAAACAAAGTTTGTAACCTTGTAAGAGAATATATGGATCACTAATTGCAGAAAGGTGACATGTCAAATGTCCCTAAAACTTAATTTTACAGAAAACACGAAAAATTGTCTAGGCAAGATTGAGAAACAGTCTCAATGTTCACCAAAGTGAACATTGGTAGCTATTTTAAATGTTGGGTATGTCCCATTTCTGCATTTAACCATTTTAAAGGCATTTAAAACACAAGGATGGTAATAATAACAAATTTTTTTTTTGAAGTGAAAAATGTTTTATTCTTTTAAGCAAAGAAATGTAACTGTTTAGTTATTTATTTAATATTAAAATTTCTTATTTAAGTTGCCAGCGAGTTGGTCACTCGTAAAGTTTTTCCCGAAATCTAAAAACAGAATCCTTTAAAATGCAGCGCTTATAATTCATTATTGAAATCTTTTGGATGTACAGCTTTGGGTAACTTGATTGGTGAAATATTTTTTTTTTTTTTAATTCACGGATATTTTAAAATTCAATCATTTTGATTAAATAATATATTTTTTTTCGACACAAACTCAGAAATAGATCGACTAAAAATAACATTAATAAATAATGTATGAAAAATTGTTTGACCTATAAGTGACTTTATACAGCTGTTACGTTGTAACAGTAATTTATTAAAATATTTAGTTCATATGATATTTATATCATATTTACCATACTTTACTTTTACATTTGCTTATTTACACTAACTTTAGCTGTTGATATTTCCATAACAGTTTAATGGACTAATCCCATTTTTACATAAAATATGTATTTATTCGAGGTACCTAAATAAATATAAATCCAGTAATAACTCAATTTTGTTAAAAAATTGTATGTATCCCCATTCTGCAATTAGTGATTAATATATAATGCATATAATAATATAAAACAATATATTTTATACTTATAATAGTATTACTAATAATACATTTTATTAATATAACAAATTTATGTAAACTGCACTATAGCATTACGAAAAAAAAGATTTCGGAGGGGGGCACGTAAATTAATAATTCTCAAGTGACATTTATTTACATTGTATAAAAAACAATTTATAGTTAACTTATACATTAACAATAAACATTTATTTAGAAGGTACTCACCTAAGCCAATACAGAGTTCTCGAGTGAATGGCATACTAAAATGGAAACTTAAAGTAATCAGAAACGATTGAAGCCCGGGGAATATTTCCGAGAATTCGCCTGCATCTGTTGCAAAATTTGAAAATGATCCAGAACACAAAACTCCATGAGGATAAGTGGCAAATAGATAAGATTTATCAGCAGGCAAATCATGAGTTTTCACTAGAGCTACTGGAAAATAATTCTTAAAGTAAGTCCACCATGTCAGTCTTCTCATAATTGTAAATCTATAAAGTTAAAGATATATATATGTAATATATTTATATAAAATTACGGTTATTAGGTATAAATATTTAGTTTTAAAGCAAAATAATTAATAAACGAGTTTTAACCACTCATTTTACTTGATTTACTTCGGAGTAAACAAGCGTGTTACATTATTGTTAAAAATTTGAAAGCAATAGTTAAATTTTATGTTATACTATTTGCTGTCTTTTATTATACTTAATACTGAAACTATTCCCTAATACTATTAAACCTTAGGAAGAAAGTCAAGTATTATTATTTATTATTCTGAAATTTTTAACAATTAAAAATTTAAAAACACCACCAAATAAAAATATTTATCACTGAATTAGTTCAGTTTTCGCTGCTGATTAGTTTTTACCGCTCTGTGTCTATTCCATGTAGACATTTCAGAAACAATAGTTTGTTGATAACAAACTCTTATTATATATCCTATATTATATTATCTTAATTCGTGGTTTAACGTTACTAAAACTTCTCCATGAAGTTACATATTATCGATTATTATTAGTAGCCCATAAATATTATTTATTTGATATATTAATCATCATGTAAGGTATCCACGTGTACCGTTTCGGTGCAAAATTATATAGATAATATCAAAATTTAATACTTTTGCACCATAAAATAACATACGTCTATTTTATAACTACATAAATACTACAATGCGCCGTACGTTTTGAGAACAAAAACATTCCATAGATTTTGTCGTCAGCTTTGTGCACACAGAGTGTGTGGCTATCCCTAAACCTATGGCTAAACCTATCTGTTTCAAAACAACACTAATAAACCAAGTGGGCATACTCGCACTATAAGTGAGCAACTGTTATAAATAGGAGGTTAGGAGGATATAAGGACAATTTAGTTTATATATTTACGCAATTTTAAATCATTGTAAACGAAAAATAATTCTGAGTAAAGTTCGGTTAAACATGTTTTGATAAATTTAAATTTAAACTACAAAATAAATTGCAATAGTTCGTATTTTTAACGTATTTGAACATACATTTAAACTTAACAGACTAATAAAAATAAATTACAACATTGTTATCTGCATAAAACAAAAGATAACTCGATATTTTAAATTGTCATTAATATTTTTAAAATATCAAAATATTTTGAAAATATTATACCATGTCTAGAAATTATAATTTAATTTATTATTACAAATTCCAAACTTTATTTTTCAATAACTTTCCAAATTTTATCAAAAAATAAGTAAATACATTTTATTTTAACTGATAATAAGTTGATAATATTGATATTTTTTCCAACTTTTAACTTAAGTAATTTCATTCGTTTTTGTTTATTTTTTATTTTAAAAGTTTTAACTAAATGCTTTCTTTTTTATGTATTCAATATTTCTCAAGCGAGTAAATAATTTTATTAAGTTGGCGGCCTTTGCTTGAAAACATATTTCATAGACATCTATATCATATTGTTTCTAAATAAATATTGTATAATACATGTTTCCTAATAGTAACAATGTAATAGAATACATTAACACCACGGACTATGATCAAATATTTAATCAATACCTACACAAACTATAGACACTATTTTCAAATTAATAATAAAGACCAAAATGTACTTTGTATTTTCAAAGCATCTTATTTAATTAGTTTAATATATATATTTTGATCTATTGGTTATTATATAATTTTGATAAACAAAAGAACATTAACTAGAACCCTTTTAAAATGTAAAACTGAAAATAATAAAATATAATACTATATTATCAAAGTTTCGTGTTACGGTGATAAACACCGGAAGTCCAAAAACTTATAAAAACTGTTTTCGCGTGAATTTAGCATAGTTAAGTAGTCTATAAAAATAGAAACAAATTTAGAAGTAAGGAAGAATGTTATTTGGTGGAGGTAAAATGTTGACTTTTTTATATGAATTTAATGAAATTATTAAAAAAATAACACATATTGGAATAAATTAACCCCCGAATCATCTCGAATAAAGCCTCAAAAAAGGAGACACTTAAAAATTGATGTCCTTAGACTCTGGGCACCAAATGACATTACACGGCTCTGGACCTACTCTCAAAATTTCGATCGATATGGTACACTCGGTATAAAAACGTGTTTTTAAATAAGAAATCTCATCGGTAGAAGTTCTAAGATCTCATAGTTTCTCAATGGATAAATGCGTTGCTTCCCAGCCAGAGGTTATAAAATACGAATATGATGCTTTTAAATTCTGAGTGGAGTGGAGAAGCTTATAGTTTTACAAAGATGTTTATTTTATTTTATTTTTTATCTGTGTGCAACTTTTCTTCATCTAATTTTTAAGTTTAGCACCTTTTCTGGAAGGAATTTGTATGGGGAGGTACATTAATGAGATCATTTTTCGATTTGCTCAGGAATTTTTCTCAATAAATTGGAAAAACCAGGAAAAAATGGGAAAATGTATGAATTTTATTAGTAAACTATTACGATTTATTTTTCTGTGGACAACTTTTCTACCAGCAATTTTCCTTCAATTTACAATGATAGCATTTTTTCAGAAAGGAAATCTGACTGGAGAGGTAATCTAGGAAGGTTCATTAAAAATTAATTATATATAACTATATATTAAACTAATAATATTAAAGAAAAAATATAATGCCTATTTAATTATGTTACCATAATATGACATATATATTGTTAATAAAATATAGCTATCAACTGAACTCCGCTAAGAATCCTTTATTTTGTTAGCAATGGTTTATTGTTACTTGTAGGTATACATTCAATTACCTATGACAATGACTGCACCTGTTCTCATTATCCTAGGACAGCTTTTTTTGCCCGGCATGATTTTGCTAACAAATTGGAATTTATTTATGATTAAAAATTTAACACGTGGAAGAAAGTGAAACTTTTTTTTTGTGAAACAACTTGTTAAGACTAGTCATTTCGAATGTATCTGTGTATCTTATAACAAACGGTCGTTTCGAAAGTACTCACATTTGAAAAATGCACGGCCTGGTCCCGTGTTAATGTACACAAAATACAAGGGTGGGGGTTTATATTAATTGGAAAAATAATATTCGGGAATGATGTTTACATGAAGTGATAAAAACTAATGGTTCTCATTAAAATCTGGTTCGCTTCCTCAGCAAATTGAATGCGAACTCATTTCATTATTTTAATCGAGAATAAAATACAATTTGTAATGCACTTTTAAAAATAACAAACATATTTTAAAAACCAATTATTTGTATTATTGTTATTTTCTTTCTGTGTTTTATGCATCCCCAAATAAAAGCCTACCCCACGTGGTTTAGCATGACAAATCGGCGTTTATTTTTGATTGAAAGTCCGACATGAACACCTATAAAATATTTTTAATACATGAACTTGTAATTAGCCTTTGTTGTTTATAAATTTATACCTAATTTGAACATTTCGGAGGGAGGATTGATCTGCTACCCCCCTTCCTCCTGTAAACGGGCTTACTATAATTTCTCTGAAACTATGGAAGGACAAATTGTGGAGACTATCGTACAAATTCGTACAAATAAGTACCTAATAATTGAGGAATAAAAAGCATCAAAAATCGATGGAAAAACGTATAAAGTCTGCAAAACTTTATACGTTTTATACTTGAAAATATTTATATTTTAGATTCGGAGCGTAGGGAAGAGTCTATTGGTTTTGGAGTAGAACAAAAATTAAAAGTAAGAAAATAAAGTAATGGGGGAAAGATAGAAGTGTAGAATAATATGGTGTAGGGGATAAGAAATAAATAGTCAAATATAATGGACACCTATATTGGTATATGATATGAAATGATATTGTTACTGCGTAGTATGTATAATACGGATGCACGGCGGTTTGTCCATCGAAGAATATGTGTGTATCGTCCTATGTGTGTGTGTTTGTGGATGTATGTGTTTATTATACAGTCATCGTCACAACACGTACACATACATAATAAAATACTTTATAAAGACATGTTAAAAAGACGTATTATATTTAATATTGACTAGCAGCTATCTACCGCACGAGATTTTTTTTCTTTATTCATTTTTTAACATCTTCCTAATCTTTTACTTAATCTTCTACTACGAGAATATGGAAATAATCACTTACTTCGATACACTGGTTGAAGTTTGAAAGAAGTTCGTTGCTCAAAATATAAGGAGCAGATATAAGGATGTGTAGGTTTCGATGAATTGTTACAATAAACACAAGTAGGTTTTCTAATTGGTTTGTCACCAAGTCAACTATGTCAATAGATATTTATGTGACTATACTCAGACCTCGGGTCGCTAATAAGCGACGACTTGTGGGAAATGCATCCGTTTAGTGTAACGAATCGCTAACCGATGCATTATTGTATTTTGCTTAGAAATATTTACTACAGTATAGACGTACGGACAATTGTTTACCTTGAGTGACGACCACCAACCCGGTATATAAGGTCAATGCTCGAGTCAGTCAAGCGTTATATAATGTGTGTGTGTTTGCATTGGATTATACGAGAAAAATAATAAACACGTTTAATGTATGATAGGAAACAAAGTGATAATATGTACAACTACCAGGTTTAAGGAGATGTGAATTAACCAAATACAGTAGCCCACCTATGGTATCTGCAACTGCTGTATAGTTTGGAAAAATAAAGGTAGTAAGAATTTTAGATAAACAAAAATGAGTGCTTCTGCTGGGTGAACCCAGAGAAGTGAAGATTCGATGGAAAAGATTTACGCATCTCGCGTCCCTGTGCCTTCTACGGTTCCCCATCCTAGTGGCTCCCATACGATCGCCGCAGTGGCTACGAGGGACGTCAGTGCGCAAACAATGCACGTAATTGATTGTGAAATAATTTATGGCGTACTTATATTTTTTTTGTGATAAAACTGGTAATTGTACCTACTACGTCACTTCGCTAGTTTATTTTACAAATATTCGATAATTAATGTATTACAGTTTTACTACGATGTGTGTGTGTATTTTTTTGTGTATCTGTGAGAACAAAACATTTTCTCCAATCGAAAAATGAGAAGAGAACTTTTTCGCGCAATTTGGATCTAGTGCATTGGAAATGTCAGTTTTTAATTTTTCAAGAGGTTTTATCAATAATTGGAAAAACCGGAAAAATATTATCGGAAAAGTGGACAAATATTTACAGCGCAGGACCACGTTGTCGATTTCATAATTTTAATTTAGACAGAATATTTATATTAACCTTTTCTGTATAGATATGATATAATTTTCAAAACATTTTAGCTATTTTTTAACTATTTATAACCATCTGAAATTTTTGTTTTTACCAGGTTTTATGCAGATAAAATTTGTTTGGCTTCCAAAGAAAACTTTAAAATTTGATATAAGAATCACATAGTGACGATTTTTTTTTCTTTTTTGTATAAGGGCTTAATGTTCAAATATTTATGAATATTATAAAATTTCTGGAATTTCAGAACGTATTTAAATGAACTTTTTTTGTTATCAATTATTCATCGTTACGTAAAAATATTCTAGTATAACGTTCATGCATACAGATATACATAATAATAATAACATTAATAACTTTATTTTATTTCATAAATATACAAATACATACACATTTTCATTCTTACACTAAATTACTCTTCATTGTAATATGTTCCCTTTTAATATTAGCTCATTTTTAGTTAAGGTGCGTTTATAAAATACAATGTACCTAATCAAATAAATGTCAACGTAATATAAATAATAAATAGCTACAAATTTATATACGATAGCCGAAAGGTTAATACCATAGACCTGGTAGATGGATTGTTCTTAGAGAGAGAAAAAAATATCCAACATGAGACGGATTTAAGTAAAATATGATGGATAGTAAAAATGTATTGACTATTTCATCCATGTTAAAAAATATTTCGGCCTTTTTTTCCTATGAACAACTTTTTTATAAGCAATTTATCTCCGATTTACAATGGTAGCACATACTCTAAAATTAAATCTGACTGGGAAGGTACTTTAGGAAGATCATTTTTCGGTTTTCTCATCAAATGTGAAAAACCGGGGAAAAACATGGGAAACCCGGGATAAACGGTAAATTAAACAAATATTATCAAAGAAAATATACAAAGCCTATATTGACAAAGCATCACCATCAACTGAACTCTGCTCAGAATTTTTTTCGTTAACAATGGCTTATCGTTGGTTACAGGTATACATTATATTATCTATAACAGTGGCTGCACCTGTCACCATTATCCTAGGACGTCTTTTATATTCCAAGCGTAGCGAGGGAACTATTGGTTTTACAATGCTGTTTATTTTTTTTTTTGTTCTTTATTCTAGTCTGTGGACACTTTTTTCCTTACTACGATTTTTACGCGTGGAAACTTTTTTGAAAGCTCAAGTTGTCTAGATTGTATTTTTAAGAAGTCATTTTTTGATTTTCGATGCTATTTTTTAAATAAAAGCACTTAAATGGGAAAAAACGTAGGAAAAGGTACAATTTCACGATGTCATTATTTTATAAAAACACGGACAATGTTTTCTACCAGAAAAAATGATTTAATCGAAAAATCACGAGATACCTTTTTTATTGCCTTTTTGATTTACTTTCTTCCTGTATCATCTCCAATTTTTAGAGAGCTTTTAAGAAACTTTAATTTTGGGAATTTTTTTGCTGTAATGCAGTTATAAATACACGTAGAGACTTGATACTTATTAATAATACTTATATTAGACTTACCTAGACGTAGTAAAATTTTAAAAAAATCATTGGACGAATTTTTTTTTTTTTTAATTAGCTTTTGAAATCAAATTAAAACGAAAATCGTAAAAAAAAATTATGGCACTTCAAATTATGTATTACCGAACTGCGCTCGGAATCTTCTTTCGTTAAGCAATGATTTACAGATATAAATGAAATAACCTTATGTATCCTACCTTCCCAACTACTCACCTACAACAGTGGCCGCTCCCATCTCCAGTATCAGCTCTTTTTTTTTTTTTTTAATTTAGTTCAAAATCTTCGTAGAGACTTGAAATTTAGACAGACAACTTATATTTGCCTTTTCTAGACGTAGTAATTTTTAAAACATTTGAGCTATTTTTGAGTTATTTATGAACATTTAATTTAAGAGTTTTTTACTTCGATTTTTATTCGGTATGTTTTCTGTGGATAAAATCGTTTGACCAAACAAAATTACTTGACAATTTAACAAAAGGTTCATTTTAATGGGCACCCATTTAAATTTCAAAACCATCAATTACTTACATATTGTATTATAGGAAAAAACCCTATCTATAAATAAAAATAAACTATCTGTTACCTATATTATATTGATTTTATAGTTATTGTTATTGTAATCCGATAGCGATAATAACCCAGGTACACATTAATATTTATCAGACGATAAAACTTGGGCTGATTACAACATAATATATAAATATATAATATATTTCTCATTTTCACCATATCATAATTAAAGTAAATAAATATATAAATAAAAATCGAGTCACGTTTTACATTTTGACTGTGTTATACCTGATGATGAATTTTTAATTCGAAACCGCTCGTATAACACTTATCATAATACTCCAAGCGATTCATTGATTCATTTATTTATTTTATTTTTATATGTATTATTTTATTTATATATTTATTTCCTTTATTTATTTATGAGTATTAACGTTTTAATAATTTTGTTTTTACTTTATTATTTTATTAAATATATGATTATCTGTTTACTATTCGCCATTGTATAAATTATGAATACAATTTATTATTATGAAAATGTATGTGGCTTATGACTATTTCTACGCTTCATATAGCTCAGTCTTTCCTGAAAGTTGAACACTCCTGTTCTAAGTATTGAAGAAAAAGCGTTAAAGACTGCAGACAAACGAATCTAGTCTTTTATGTGAGTACTTATAATTTTATACAATATTATATTTTAAACAATAAAATAATTAAAATAAGGGCAAACACGTAGGAAATCAAAGTATTATTGTTCTGTTCATAATGAGATTATTCTAATATTTCTAACTTATAAAACGTATAAATATGTATAAAATATTGTAAACAGTAGTATTATAATAATATTAATATAATATAATATATAATAGTATTATACTACTCAAACGTGTAGGAAAAGATTTTAGAAAAATAATATAATGTTCAAACCTGCTATAATGTTGTGCCTAAACGTGTCATAAACGTAAAATGATCAAACGTAGTAAAAATGATATTTTTAATATGTACTAGAATTGTAGTATTGTTATTTTTATTTGACACGTTGTAATAAACATTAATATTATCTAATAATATCACCACCACCATAGTGATGTCTACTTACCTAGATTTTTTGTTTCACATGAAAACAAAGAACTGACTTTTAATAGTATTTAGAAAAAAAAAAAAATTGTTTTACCTTATTTTGTGGGACCATGCTACGGATCGGTCGATATATATCCAGATGAGGTACATAAGCCCCAGCCACCAATATTGTGTGTTGATTATTATATACAGCAGAGTAAACCATCCGGTCAACGGTCCGAATACCACCAGGTAAATCCAAGAGGCTGCCGCGAGCGTCTCGAGCCTACGGGTGAGTGGCACACACAACGGAGCGAATTCTACATCCTTTAGCTTCATTATTTTACGGGATCTGTAGTGAATAATAAAGTCACAAATGAAATATTTTGACGATTTAAGTAAAACGTTTGGTCAAGATCGGAAATTTAAAATTCAAAGAAATAAATTACCTTTATTCTACGAGTAAGTACAAAGACTATATTATGAAATTAAATTGTATACGGACGTTTCGGTCGGTAAAGCGGAACCCGAACAAATAGCAGGATCGCAGAAGCAACTTTACTCTGATCGACGGCACAAAAATGATTACCTTTCCGATAATGTGCAAAGTACAAGATTGCTGCACGTAGCCTACGGGTATACGCAGTCACAGCCGACAGACCGGAGAGGTGGTATTTGAATATTATGTACTTTGCCTTGAAACCGTTACACTCAGTTGGCCATTAATTTATTTTTATTTTATTTTACTTTTCATTATTAAAGGCTACACAAATAGAGCTGTTTACGTATGCGCGATTGATAACGCTGTGTGAATAATCGCATTTATTAAATTATAAGTATTATAAACATGAAAACTATAAATCGATTAATATACTTAGTAGATTATCAGTCGTCCAACAATATCAATTTGCATGCGATTTCTATACTACTCGCAGTGGCATAATTATCTAAAGGGCTAGATTTCGAACAAGGATGGTGAATTTTTTTTTTTTTCTACAATACCAGATTTTTTCTGCTCCACTTATTGAATTATCCAGAGATTTAATAATTGAAAAATTAACACAGATATGAAGCCTGATACACATAAAAACAAAATGCATATAATTAAATTGTTCAATTAGATAAAACAAAAAATGACGTTGTTTTCAAAAAATATCATTATTGATAAATAATAAAAATATTTTGAAATTGTATTAAAATCAGATATAGATATAAATATATATCAACCTATTATATAATCTTTAAGTTACAGTGAAATTTTACTTAAATTAGGTAATTTACATTATAATAATAATATGCAAACATTTTTTCTATAAACCACAAAAATTACTTACCTAGGTATATTCCAGTTTATCTAAAGTTATATTGTAGTAATGTTATTGTGTAAATGTGATATTTACTGATTAGCTATAAAAAAAATAAACAAAATATAATATAGAAAATGAATTTTTTCATCATCTGTTGTTAATTGCATTGTTATCTTTGGACTATTATTTAAATATTATTATATTATATTACGTCATTGTTATAATAAGTAATATTATAATTAATAATCATAATATTATGATTTTAGTTTCCTTCCTCTCTGCCTTTAATCCATGTAAGTGCGTTTGGGGTCAACTATAATGCTCTTTTTCACGTCCTACATGCATCCCATTAATCCATCATCATTTCTTCATCTATAATTTAGATTCTATATACTCCATATGCCCTCATTATTTATATTATTATCTCCACCAATAACCTCTAGCCACTTTTTCTATGATCTAAGTACCTTTTATATTTCTCATCATCATCTACTTCAATATTATGTTTTTAGTATTTTAAAATATTATTTTCATTTTCATTTTATATAAACAATAAATATATAGCCGGTAGGTATATTTTATGTAATTAGTATACTTATTTATTGCCTAATTACCTAATTTATCATAGTATTTGAATTTTTTCAATTATGAATTACCTAAATTATTTCAGAGAATAATATATTCTAATAGACTTTTAAGTAAAATTAAATCAATATAATATACAAAACATCTTATTATATTTATCATTATAGATCAATAACTATGTAGATTTCAAACCAATTTAATATTATTATTATCAGACACATTCAATAGAATTTTTTTTAGGATAACTAAAGTTATACAAAACTTCTTTATTTAACATAACCAATAAAAAATAAAGGTACTTATACTTGAGGCAATTGGATAACGAATGATTTTTTATGCAAAAACTACTTTTTTTTTCGGTAATCAGTCCGATAGATGTGATGGAGCGATAATAAAACAAAATCTGAAAACAAAATTTGGACTCAGCATGAGATGAGATCGAGACGCCACTTATTACATTTTGAATTTTAATTGTTTTAAATTTTCTTTATCGTTTTAAAAAAATTATACCTAACAAGTTTAGTTTTAAAAAGTGGCCTGATTGATTTCATCTGAATTGCATGCTAAATTTAATTCTGTCCTCAGATTCGTATCATTCCACTAAATCGATCAAACTGAGTTTCGAAAGAACGTTATAGTTTTTGTTGCATAAATTGCGTGAATTAACAGAAGCAGTCACGGTTATAGATAATGTTTGCGGAACAGACCATAGAAATGTGATGTTCAAAACGTATATTGACCTTTACACTAGAGGATAAATATTATGACTTCATAAATAATACAACAGAATTAAGTGATGTTATACCCACATCTACTGTCTCAGTCCAACTACCGGGTAACATGCAAAAATAATGCTTACGCAGTCTAAGTAAAACTAGCTTAATTTTGATTTTAGAGTGAAATAAACGAACATACTTCGCACGAAGGTTGCAGTTACTGTTGTTGGTGAGAAGTGAGGAAGGTAGGATATAGAGGGGAAATTAATTTGTATCTGTAAGCAACGATAAACGACTGCTAACGACAAAATGTTTCTGAGCGGAGTTCAGTTGATAGTGATGGTTTGTCAACAATATATATGTCATATTATAGTAAAACAATTAAATAGTGAAAATATTTTCTTTAATAATATTTTTCCGATTTTTCCGTTTTTCCTACGTTCTTTTCGTGTTTTCTACGTTTTCCCAGGGTTTTCCATGTTTTTTCACAGTTTTTCACATTTTCTGGGAAAACTCCTGGGATAATCGAATATTGACCTTTTTAAAGTACCACCCGAGAAAATTTCCTTTCAGAAAAGAATCTTAATCGTATACATCGAAGTAAGCTTTCTGATAGAAAAAGTATTCATATTTATATATATGTATAAAAAAAGAAAAAAGCATCTTTGTAAAGCCAACACATTCTTCGCTACACTCAGAATCTTAAAAGTATCTACCTATTATGAAATCTATAAACTCTATAGACTCTGTACTATAGAGGCATATATCAATTACGCCGGAAATAGCCGGTTAAAAAAGAAAAATTATAGGATAGAAAAATTTAAAAAGGTACACATGAACTGCACTGAACGACATTCGAATGTAAAAACTATTAATCAATTGCGCCGATTGACTTTTTTTTGTCATTCAGTTAAAAGTTATCGTAAAAACTTGTTGTTTTCACAAAATACTTATATTGGCCTTTTATAGATGTGGTGATATTTTTAAAATATTTTAACAATTATAGGTATTAGATATTTTTGTGTTTTTATATGTATTTTTAATTGATAGAAAATTGTTATTAAAATTATATCACTTAAGAAAAATGTTTCAAAATTTAACACAAGTTAGATTATAAAATCTACTTAGTAGTATAAAAAAAAATTTCAGTTTAATGTATTTTGTTTTTTTGTTTTTTTTTTTTTTTTTCATAAGTGTTTGAATATCAAATTTTGACGAAAAACGTAAAAATTAGATACGGTATTAAAAAATTTATCTTGCCAAACTTCGCTCAGAATCGTTTTTTGTTAACAATGGTTTATCGTTGCTTACAGATATAAATTAAATAAATTTATGTATTTTTTTTTTTTTGCTTATCTCCACGAATAACTGTTCTTGCTCCGAACATCAACATCAAATATGGTTTCGGGTAATTTAAGTATTAAATACTTGTTTTTTTCTTAATATAAAAACGATTATAAAAAATTCCAATAATATAATAATTTTTATATTATCCGTTTTATGATCATAAATTAATATAATAATATAATAGACTCACTTGTGAATCATAATTCATAAACTAGTTGATTAATTACGCTCAACGTACTATTAAACAGGTTAGATATAATTTTGTAATTGTATACAGTTTTCATATATTATGATTCATGGTACAAAGATATTTTAACCGACTAGGGTTAGGTTTAACTCACTTGGGTTAACATTTGGTATACCTATACTAGATTATGAGTAGATTTACAAAATTTGTTTTTTTTTTTTTTTGGTGGACAACTTTTCTACCAGCAATTTTGCTTCGATTTACAATTATAGCACATTTTCTGAAATGAAATGTGAATTGAGAGGTACTTTAGAATAGTTATTTTTTGATTTTCCTAATAGTTTTCCCAAAAATGAGAAAAAATGAAAAAATTTAGAAAAAAGCTGTCGTAAGATAATGGGGACGGGTACAGCCACTATTATAGGTGAAAAGTTGGAAAGGTAGTCGAGGAGAAATGTAATGTATATTTGTAAGTAACAATAGACCATTTCTCACGAAAAAACTATTCTGAGCGGAATTCGGTTTATATAGTGTTGATTTGGCAATAATATATATATATATATATCATATTAGGTGAAAATAATTATATGTACGGCGACTGGGATATACTTTGTGCATATTATTTTTACGTTTTGTATGTTAAATGTTTAAACTGTGTGTATGTTTATAAATGTCCATATTAATGCCATGATTGCGAAATAGGCACTTTATATTATTAATTAATCGTAATCGTATGTTGATTATTATTGCGTGATTTATATTTTGTTTCTATATTATTTTATTATTCTTATTTAGTTTTTGTACCGTTCCTCACTCGACGGGAATGAGGACACGCACGTATTAACCGTACCTACTAATTTTTATTTTATATATATGTTTTCTTTTTTTATTGCAAAATAAACTTCCTTTAAAGGCAATCTGCTTTTTTTAAAAGTAAATTGTGTAGTTACCCCAATCCCACTACAATATGTATTATATATTTTTTTTAATAATATTTGTTTAATATTGTACCTATTTTACCGTTCTCTTGTTTTTCTTTCGTTTTTTCTGGTTTTTCTAAAACATTGAGGAAATCAAAAAATAACCTCCTTAAAGTACCTTCTAAGTCAGATTATCTTTTAGAAAAAGTGCTATCATTGTAAATCGGTAGTAAAAAATTACTGCTAGTAAAGTTGTCCACGGAAAAAATAATCATTG